GTTTGTCTAAGTAGTTCTTAGCAACATTAATGGCTGGCAATATGTTTGATCAGCAGTGTTGGGCATATGTTCAGGGTTTTTTTTGGGGGGGGGGGGAAACACCTGATGTAAACCTACAGCAGGCATTCAGGTATTCTATGCAAATTGAGCAGACCCAGTCATCAGCTCATGTTTGGTCACCACAGTTCAGCACATGGTTGAATGTTGAACATATTCAACATGAAATGCACAGCATGCCTAGTTCAGATCAAATCAAAGCATACATATGGTTAGTATTTTTCTTCCATCACTTTGAGATTACTTACACTGAATGCCACTTGAGATTCTTTTGGAGTTCTTTACACTATGCTTTAGATTTTAGCACCTCAGATGATTAGGCATCACTGGCAAATCAGGAAACGTGTCCTATTATCCTGTGGTTGCTAAATTTACTTAAGAGCTTTGGTAAAGGACTTTGTTAAAAGTTTTTGGGAAGTCCAGGTATGTAAAGTCCCCTGTTTATGTGCTTCTTCCCATTCCCAAAGAATTCAAGAAATGTGAAGCAGGTCATCCCTTTTCAGAAGCCATACCGTTTTTGTTTAGCAAGGCTTATTCTTCTTATGTGTTTAACAATTCTATTTTTAATCATTCATCCTACAATTAACGAACGTGCAACAGATCTATTACTGTTCAGATTCTCTGTTTGTTTTTTTATGTGTTATACTGGCTGCTCTTCAATATTCTGATTAATCAGGAAGCTGGTTTTAATTACAGTACAGTGCGATTTTTTTTTGTTGAAACATCAGAAATGCCACCCTAGATGCCTTTAAGAACTATTGGGTGAAAGCCTTTCAGCCCTCATAATCAGTCAGACTCTAAAATATTCATTGTCAATTCTAATTAACAATGGGGATATGTTTATAGAAGTATTACAGTGTCTATTTTATATAATATGAAGTATCACAGCATCTATTTTATATAACAGGAATCCTTAGAAGAATATTAGAGGTTTGCCAGACAACCTTAGGATCTCCTGGCTATTCTAGACATAATGCCATACGATAATTATTATTATCCATCATGAAAGACAATTATTGCAGGGAATGGTGATAATAGTTATCTTCAAGCTATGAAAAACATCATGGTGATTTTAATAGATCTGCTCCTAAAACCATGGGAGAGACAAGGATGGCTTTTCTGGTCAGCTAGCAACCCTTGTGGTCATCTGCTAGCTAGTACTACCAATGATGCTGTGCCAATAGGGTAGGTAATTTCCATGAGAGAGCCACCACTGCACCTCTGCCAGTGAAAAGGTTTATGACAAAGCCAAGGTGATAGCTGGGATCCACCAGACTGTTCCCACAGGAAGGAGGATTTCTGCCCACGGAGCATGATTTTCTCAGCTCTCCTTCCTATTACAGCCCCAAACGCTATTCCTTGGTGTCACATTATATCATCGTGGGCCTCAGACCGGGGTCCTTGGCCTCTTTCAGTGGCTGCAAGGTTCCCCTTTTCTTGCTGTTCCTCCCCTCCCCCAACCCCCCTTTCCTCAGGCTCCACTCCCAAATTTCCAGGAATTTCCCGAACTTGAGCTGGCAACCCCAGGGGAGACCTAGGTTCAAATTCTCATTCAGCCATGAAGTTCAGTGGGTGACCCTGGGCTACTTACGTTAAAAAGCTGTAAAAATAAATTCGGAAGGAGAGAAATGTGTTTGGCACCCTTCTCTTGAGGAAAGGGCAAGATAAAAATGTGGTAGCGTTGAAGAACAGCACCCTTACATTTTATGGTAAAACATGTTGAAAAGAGTCCGCCTTATCAGCATGATTTCTCACTGCTTTTCAGACCAGTCTGTACATGTTTGATTCAAAGCAGAATGAAGGAGAATTTTCTTAGGAAATTACAAGCTTATAAATGGGAGGGACACTTGCTCTGTTCCTAAACTTCATGTTCTTATTTCTTTTTCCCATAGCAAGAAACAGAAGTTCAGGAGTCAGAAATATTTTGCCAAAAAGATTTTGGAAGGCGGGAGGTCGAGTGAAGAGCTGATATACAGCTTTGAACTGTGACCTCCAGTGGCCACTCTACTCACAGAATGACTCTGTGGTTTTAAGCACTGAGCAGCCTAATCCTATGCACATTGTCTGGAGAGTAAGCCCAGTTAGTTCAATGTAATTCCCAAAATAAGAGCGCATATAAGATTGAAACCTTAGCTTCACGTATATACACTGAGAAAAGTGTTGACTTACTGCATAAGGCTTAAACATTACAGATACAGTAAAAATACACTGAAAATGGCTCATTTATGCTATTATCATGACCTGTTCAACAAACAGCATGTTTTTACATTGATGGGAAGATATTTGTCTCAGAGGAAGCTGGTGCAAGAAGTATATTATTATTACAAACAATTGTTTACTTCCCTTCTTTTCTCTCTCCCAGGGCTGCTAGGATATTCCACATATGCCTGTGGCACAAACACTATTAAATTCCCCAAAGACAGCACATTCAGGTCTTTGCAGAAGGCACAGGGAAGTGGAATCAGAATTTACCTTTCTGGTAAATCAGGAGACATTTAGTTGCCAAAGGAAGAGCGGAAAGGTTATCTAGTGTCATTTGCTATTGTGTTGTGCTGAGCTAAACTAGACAAGAGGGAAGTTATGCCTAATAGGCAATTAATGTGTTTGTTTATTCATTGAACTTCTAGCTTGTCATAACATTCAGAAAGTCTAAAAAGGCCAAAAATCTCAGCAAAATCCCTTAATATAGCCTCTGAAATCTCACATCAGTAGATTGCTTTTGGATGACACCCAAGCGCTGATTTGGCAGGCTCCTAAAGAAAGGACTCCAAGAGCTGGGGATCAGATATTGAGAATGCCAATCTTCATGCCTTGGCACCTATTCTTATTTGATGGATTGAGGGCACCACCAAGTGGGTGCTCTTGGTTGGCTATGGCAATTGTGATTAAATGTGGCGAAGATGTACCACTTTGAAAATACATTCTGAGTTATCTAAAACTGCTGGAAATATTTAGCCACATCTCTAAAATAAAACATGCTCTTTCCACCAGAAGCTCTACAAGGGCACACAAAGAGCCAAGGGAACTAACTAGTCTGTACAAATAGGGTCAGATTTTTGTGAAATCAAAAACAAGTCTTCCCCTAATTAGCATTAACAACAAAACTGTCTTTTTGTGAGTTCTTCTTTGACTTTTGCTTGGCAGCAAATCCATGCAGCTGTGCAGATAGTTGACAAAAGGAGAGGAGTTGACTGGGTAGGCAAAGCCTTGAACAGAGTAGCTCTGAAATGCAAACACAAGTGTTTGAATATACTGATTGGGTGTTTTTATTCAGTCCAAGCCAGGCTATCTACCTGCTTTAACAAGCAGCAGTTTATACTACACTCTCCAGCCGATATTCAGTTATTATGGGTGATGGATATGGATACTTTTAAATGGAAATAAATGGAAATAAAGACCATGGAAGCAGCATTTCTCCAATAATCCTCCCCCCCCACACACACTTATATCATGCAAGGTCTTTCTCGCCATCCAGCATTCTCTGACTGATAACCCCATTCCATAAAAGACATATTCTCTTACCCACATAAAGAGGAAGGTCATGGACTGAAGAGGTTGCTTGCTTGTCTATCACCAAGCATCATTCAACTTTAGTGGATGACATTCATTTAACCACTCCCTATTTAAAAAAATCCTCATGAGATCAGCCTAATTTACCTCACAAGGTTCTTCAGATGCTAAAATGGAAGAAGGGAGAACAATGAAAGCTGCCTACGTTGAAGTTAGCCAGAGACTTAGGGATCTCAGGAGAGCCTTGGGAGCCAGAATGGCAGTGCTGTTTATTCCTTAGCAATCTGGAATGAGAAGGGATTGTTAGGGACAACTGGCAAAATTGCTCCTTGATGCTGTTTTTCCTCATTTTGTAGATTACTAGCTCTTTGGTATATTGTCCTTAAAAGACATTAAATGGATTGAGACACAGCTAGAGTGACATTGGCAGAAGATCCAATCTGAGTCAGGCCACATGGAGTCGCAGGAAAGGCTTTCTTCACCACCATTATTACATCACCAGAATCTTCTCAAGTAACACTTTTCAGGATGATCTGAAATCCTTCAGCCTCTAGTTGATCTTCTAGCAAAGGAAACAGTTATAGCTTTCTGTAATGTATTTCCTGGGTTCTTTGCTTTTGAAGTTGACCTAACCTGGCCTGCCTTAGATGCCAGTTCAGACACACAGATTCTGTATCAGCCACCATCTGTCTTTTGCAGTTGCTGAATCATTTCAATTGTTCTTCTTAACCAATGTTGACCACTGGCCTGAAGTTGTGATGACCTGGAGTTGTGAAGACCACCACTTGCAAATTAATCCTTTCACCATCATGGTCAAGTCTTATCAAAAGGATATAAGAAACTTACTGGCCCAGGATAATTAACACATCATTGTTTGATGAAGCATTCCCTTAAACTACACAGCTACTATCTTATGGAACATTCCACTAAAGAAAGTACATAAAGCACTCACACTAGAATTCTTTTTGTTGGGATTTTAAAACTTATGTTTGGAGGGATTTCAATTAATTAGCAGGCAGTCCTTCTGTTGTATTTTATTATACCAGTTCTATATACTCTAAATAAAAATGTGAAAATGCAAATGGATACACACACATGTATGCTGTAAGATCATCTTCTCTATTATAGATAATTACAATGAAGAGTAACAGAAAACTGATTTCCCCTAGACAGAAAACATAAACTCAAAACTAGTAAACTCTGAAATCACTTGTGGTGACCGCCTTTTACTGGCTGCCATCAAAATCGCTGTTTACAAGTATGGTCAGTATCTTCCACACTGAAAACAATCAAAGTGAATTCATGAAAATTTAATTTAAATAAACAGTTCAATTATTACAGTGACCATGTCTACTCAAATTCCTCCAAATCAGTGACAGAAAAATACATATCTACTGACTCCAATTTGACAAAGATAATCCCAGTTCCATTGTCTATTTCTGTGTAATAGGGAAAATGGTCCATTAACTCTCCCACTTTCTCCTGAAGGCAGTTAACCATCTCAGCTAATACAAAGACATGTGTTTCATCCAAGTCTTGTATGATAAACTTCTTCCCCAGGGCATTGGACTCATCCAAGTACAGCAGGAACTGCTTCATTGCTGGGTCACTGCAATGATACAAATAAAATTATGGTCACATCAGAGGACATATCTGTGAATTATGGCTGTATTGCTAAAACAGGCTTTTCTCTAATTCTAATGGAATTTGATTTTATTAATGCATTAAGGTGTCAATATTCTAGTAAGCTTTAATTTACTTGTTTTACTATATACTGCTTTGCACAGCAAGGAAAGGTGATATAGAAAATACAGTAGACAAATAGGGGTGTGTATGCATGCACATTAATTATTTGTAACATACCTCCATAGTCCTGGACACTGATAAATCTTTGGAAGAAGAATTAACAATTAAAAACTCCAGGGAAGTGTAAGATTAATTGTAAGGTTAGGAAGCTTTGGAAAGAGATAAAATATTAATTTATTAAGAATCGCTGCATAGTAAAAAAGATGCTGCTATTGGATTCGGATCTAACTGTTCTATTGCAAACTATGACAGCTGCCCTCTGAAATGCATATCAGATGCTCCTCTGAAAAACAAAGAATTATTAACTATACCACAGAAAATGTTACCTTGCATTAAAAATACACACAGATAACACTTATACTCAAACTTACAATGAAAGAGAGTGTAGCATATAGAGTTCAGCTATGCTACAGAAAATATGACAGATATTTTACATACTGTTTTTAGATTTATAACACACTTTTTAATCTTACATCCTTAAAAGCAGCTTACACTTTAAAATGCAATCAGAATGTCTTCTCTACCTGCTACTCCCTCTATATTATTTTCATTTGGCGAGCCTGAATGGCACTTTGTTTGGTGGTGCACACTCTAGCCCTTCTTCCCAGGACAAAAATTTTCACATCACAACTATAACTTGGTCACTAATTCCTACAACCTGGACTTAGAATATTGTAGATTGTAAAACACCAAACAGTATGCAGAATCAGACATCCAAGTCCAAGACTTGTGCTGCCCAAAGACATCTAGTTCACATTCAGCTCCTGTCTTCTTCCATTCCTTCTGTCTCTCAACAGTGTCAAAACTTTACAGTAGTAAAACTACCATCTGGCCTATCCTAAGGGTCCCCAACCTGTTTGAGCCTGTAGGCACCTTTGGGATTCTGACAGTGTGGTGGGCACAGCCAGCCACAAAATAGCTGCTATAGCTTACCTTTAGTCACACAGTACTGCACTGTGGCGCTACCAAAAGGAATGTCTTTAAAAATCTGCATGGCCAATCTCATTTTCAGAGGCCAGTTCTAAGGCCTTCTGGGCAAAAGCCCACTTTCTAAAAAACACTTGGAGGGCATCAGGAAAGGTTACATAAAGCATACTGCACATCTGGGGTAAGAAAGCAGTTCTACTTACCATTCTATAAGTATTCCTTTTAAGACATTCACCATCCTTGCAACACTATCAAGCCCTAAGGTACAGAGAAGGGTAAAAAAAATGAAACACTTAACTTTCATAAAATCATGATAAAGTTTTAGCAGGTGTGGTTATGGCTCTGGGTACAGCATTTGCTTTGAACGGAGCAATCCCTGAGTTAAAATTCTGACCACTCCCATTTAAAAGGATCAGGTAGTAGTAGATGTAAAAGACTGCTACCTGAGAACCACTACCAGTCAGAGAAGACAATAATGACCTTTACAGACCAACAGTCTGACTCCGTATAAGACAGCTTTATGTGCTAAAGCCTAGTAATAGAGCACATACTCAGCAAGCAAACAGTCCCAGGTTCAATCCCCAACAATTCATAAAAAAATCTCAAGAAATAGGTGTCAGTAAAGACCTTTCTCAGCCTGAAACCCCTGGATAGCCAATACCAGTCACAATAATGATCTAGATGGATTCATGGTCTGATTTGGTATAAAGCAGTTTTACCTGTTCATGAGGAAGCTAAGGGAATATGGCTTGTCTAAAGCAAAGTGATATCTGAATTAGGGCTTGGAGTTCATTTTCTAACTGGAGTGCTCACATAGAACTTGGAGCTTTCTGCATGCAAAGCAAATTCTGTACCGTGAGCCACAGCCCCACTTGCTAAGCCATGCTGCCTCCTAGAAATATCCTTGTAATAATAATACTGGTCTCTTATAAGGATATTGTAAATACTGGAACATGATAATACACATGAATAACTGAGTGTTGAATATACACACTGTTACAGTTATTCTTTCAGTACCATACTATAATGGCTTCCTCTCTGGAATTTGCTGCAGTTCAGTTCCTTTATTTTCCTACATAATTTTAATGTATTCCTTTGTTGTCGTTTTCAGAGATAAAGACAACTAGTGGGTGGGATGAGATGGAGTATGCTTCTCTCTGGTGAGCGTACATAGATGCATAAGCATATGTTGCACTATATGAAGGTGCCACTGGGACTCTTCGTTGCTTTGGAAGCAAGAGGCTCAATGAACGGGCATACTGCTGAAAACAGCTCAAAACAGAGTATCAGCACATGATTTTTTCTAACTAAATAAATAGTGATAAGGCTGGAGCCCAGCTCTTATCGGCCTAATTCGTTCTCATCCTTTAGATTTAGCTGCAACGTCAAATCAAGCGTTCTATACGAATGCAAAAGGCACTGCGGGCTGTGTGTAATTTGGGGAGAAGGGTAGAAGCGGGGGGAGAACACCATCAGAAGCCACGACAACTTAATCTACCCAACTGAGACCTACACCGGCCGGCCCCTTCACCTGAACAGCAACGTCGCCTTGACGACGAAAAGGCTTCGCCACCTTTCTCCAGTCACCGGAAGCAGTAGGCTCAGACGAAACACCGAGACCAAGACAGCCCCTACAACAGAGCACGCGCCACTTAACTCGCTATCGGATTGGCTGAAGCTCGGGAGGTGCGCGTGCGTATTTGAGAATGGGGCGGTAGTTGGCGGTGTCGCCGTCACTCCAGAGCGTAGGCGGTGTCCTCGTTGAAAGCTGGGACGGGAACAGAGATGGACAGGTAGGGGGGATGAGGAGGTGTCCCATCCTTGTGGAGGGGTGGAGGGAGGGAATCCGAAATAAGTTTGTGGGAAAGAAATTACTGACCTGTTCCGTACTGTCATTTTTGTCACTCTTTTGTCCCTATTGCTTTGGGTACCCCCCCCCCCTCCATCCACATGTGTTTTCTTCCTCTGGGACTACTAGAGAGTCCAAAACACATTGGGGGGGAGGGGAAACCCTGAAGCAATAGGGACAAATGAGTGACAAAAATGACAATGTGGAAGAGCCCGTTGTGTTGTGGAAGTTTATATGCAAGTACTGTAAGATCTGTGTCATAGCTAATGGTCTGGACTCTTTTATTGCCTGGGATTATTAATTTACAGAGCATGCTTTACTAAAGTGGCTAAGAGTGTCGTTCTATGTGCACTCCTTTGGGAGAAAGCCCAATTGAACTGAAAAATAAAGTGTGATGGGATCTAAACGACTAAGAAAATGCCGCTGCCCTCCTGCTTATTTTTTTCATTGAGCTGACTAATGTCTCTAAAACTCTGGGATTACTTGATGTCTGTGGAGCATATTTCCAAGTAAACAGGCAAAGGGATGGAAGAATTCATTCCTTGCTTCTAAACTGAGTAAAAATCTGCCCTCTGAATAAATTTACCTACGTCACTAAAAAGAAATTAGAATGAGTCAACACTTCCATACGTTACAGTGGGCTTTTCTGCATACTTGATTTACTCCTGATTTTCTTGGCAGCCAGTCCACAGGTACTGGAATTGGTCTGGACATGGTTCTTCCAGACATCGGCCCTCCCTCTGCGTTTTCACACTTGTGGAGTCAGTTTATTTTCTTACACAGGCACCTTAAATAAACCCAATTTTCAAGGGAGGATGCTGTCATTATTGGTGTCAGAGCACACACACACACTTTTATTTTTGCGCACACTTAGATTGGTACATTGATGTTATGGCTGATTTTTTAAGATTGAAAATGAACACAGGCTAGAGCTAAAGTGAGAGAGCACCCAGGCTCCATTGACACCTGCAAGACTGCTGGAGGGCAAGGGTAGCTTTCTCAGGGCTGGGGGCTAAAGCTGGCTATTGGGAGGGTCAGTGCCTTTCTACAGGGAAGCCTAATATGGGAGCAGCTCTGCCACCCATCTACTTCTGAATGAAGTGCTGTGTCCCTTTCAAACTGCACTGCTTTTTTTCTAGCACCAGAAGTGGCCACCCTCCACATACCGTAGTTATATCTGTATACTGTTTTAATTATAGGTTTAGGGGATAAAGGAAAAAGACATATCTCTGCCAGGAAATGAGTTAGAGGCTTTTTAAAAAATGAAATCTGGGAACTGAGCAAATCTGCTACTCATCATTACAATGGAATATCAATATAACAATCAGTCAGACCCGTAGCTACAGGGGGGTGTTTTGGGGCCAGCCCCCCCCCCCGACATACCACCCAGACCTCCCAACTTCCCAACCAGCAGGTTTATTTTATTTTTCTTGCATGCCACAGCTTTGCCGTGCTGAGCTGTTGCCCTGCCCGCCAGCAGTGTACCATCCCTCTCTTGTAGCGTTCCCCCCCTTTAATTTTACTCTCATCACTCCTGACACAGTGCCCCTCAACTTATTTAAATGTCCCCCAAAGTCAAAAATCCTGGCTACGACCCTGACTATAAGGGTTGTATTTTTTTCAAAATCTAAAATGAAACCACATGTCTTCAGGGCAGGTTTGACGATGATGGCTGTCCAATCATCAACAAGTGGGCTGGAGGTGGGTGGGAGTAGGTGGAACAAAGAAAACAGACAGAAACATTGTGCATTGAGGTGACTCAAAATCAGCTTCCAGAAAAAGATTGGGGTAAAAGTGGTCTCAAAAGAACCGAGGGGAGTGGGAGGAGAAACGAAATGAAGCAAAAACTGAAGGCACAAAAATGCATGTGGAAATCAGGGGATAAACTGAAGCAGCATGGGGCCAGAACTGATTTAAAAAACCATACAAAAAAAGCCCAGTGTGTTTTCAAGATGGAACAGCAGTTAACTTGGTTTACATACTCCTGCAAAACCTTTGCTAACACAGGTATTCTTGCTTTGAGCCACAACTGACTGCCTCCCTGATCTAATTCATAGGAAAACTGTAACATTGGCTAGAGTATACAAATGGCTAATGGTTCTCTTCCACTAAATTCCACCATGTTCAATGGGGCTTCCTCTCAGGTTAAGTACGCATAGGATTCTAATTGGCATAAGCCCCACCAAGTTTAGGACTTCTGAGGAAGCATGCATAGGATCAAGAGGGTACATTGAAATAAACCCAGTCAAATAAATGGCACCTGCCTCCAAATAAACTGGTTTAGAATTTTCAGTTGTGCAAATAAAAAATTACAAAAATGCAATTCTGTATCTTATTCTTATTGTGCTGCTGCCAAACCCAAATGGCTTTCAAACAGCCTTGTCACCCAGAATTCTAGCCAAATAATTCCCAAACTGTGTGATGAGACATAGTGGTGTGAGGTAAGAACCAATCAAAGATTCTTTGAGCCCAACATACAAATACACCAAGGTGGTTTGCATGATACATCTCTGTATGATTTGCTGCCCTGGCCTTGCTTTCTTCCAGCCAGCTTCTGCATCCAGTATGATTGGATCCCTATGCAGAAATGCAGCAGAGGTGCCCACTCCTAGAGGAGTCTGCACATCCTGCATGTCACCTCTCTGGTCTTTCCACCTTCCAGTCAAGATGTACAGAGTTTCAGGATAAGTAGAAACTCAAGCAGCAGATTCCACCAAGTGTGATTAATTCTTGTAGTTGTAAGAATGCCTCCAGTTCCGAAGTATCAGATGTCTGGAAATAACAGCATAATTCTTTCAAGCTATCAAAAAGGATCAGTAGTTTTTGCCTATAATGAAGGCTGTAATCTGCCCATGCAAAATATATTTCAAGTCACAATGATCTTCTTTGGAATCCTGAATGGTGGGGGCATTCATGACAGAGTTCAAATGTTCCTTGAAGAATGCAGTACTATCTGATAAAAGAAGCTTTGACTCTCAAAAGCTTATACCCTGACAATCTTGTTGGTGTCTAAGGTGCTGCTGGACTCGAATCCAGCTGTTCTGCTGTGGACCAGCATAGCTACCCTCTGAATCTGTACTGTTCCTGCACTGTCTGGAACAATCATGGACAGCTGGTATATGGGACTAGCATGCAAGAGAAAAGTGTTTATAAGTCGTGCTATAAATAATCATTTTATGCCTCTACAGAATGTCACTGGCTGCTTATTGTGGGATTTGCTGTAGAAAGATAGGAACTTTTCGGTCAGCCACTAAAACAGACAAATCATGGAAAGATATAAGTAAGTGTACTGTTATGATTCCTGGCCTAAGGATAATAAACCGTTTATTGCTGATTTGTTTCATGGAGGGCTCATTAGCAAGTGTCCTGTTAGCTGATCTAGAAATGTTGTGTAATAAGTAATATAGCCCACATAATATTTGCGTAGGGAGCCTTTTGTCCCAACTCTATAGAGTTGCCAAGTGTATGCCCCGTCTTCCGATTCTTAGGGATTTTAAAGGTTTGAGATTAACATTGCCCAAGCCCTCATTGTGGGTTTAGTATTGTTAATACTAAAGGCTTGATCACCCAGAACATTTCCTCTTGTGCAAGCAGAAAACACAAGAAAGTCATTGCAAGTATAACTTGCATTTCCACTCTCACAAGACATATTTCAGCACCCTTCTTTCCATAATGACTTTCTTCAGTTAAATCATATTGCACCGCCCAATTGGACAGTAATGACTACATCAAAGAGCCTCATGATTTTTGTATCCAACAACACTGACTGGAAATGAAAAATCAGTAGTATATCATACAGTAGCTCTTGTGTAATGTCTTGCAAAACAGAACTTTGTTAAGTTAAATTTCTTTTCCACTATTGCATGGCAGGACCCAACCCAATGATAGTGTCATTAGTAAGGTACTCTGCTCAATTGGGACCAGGAATTCTAGTTTTTCCTGCAGGCATGATATTCACTTTCCATGCAATGTAGGTGGCATTCCAGCGGGTCACAGGGCAAGCAGTTTGCATGCTAGAAACAGAGACATACCTTCATGTTACGCAGCCATGATGGAGCATTTTACAGGGTTGCAAAGAAATGTTCCTTTAATGGAGGAAAGTATTGCTTTAACTTTCTTTTCAGATTTTGAAAGGCAATGCATAGTTGACATATCAACCACACTCAAGTAGTTATGCTTTCACGGGGATTTTCCTTTTCTGTTTGTTGAAACAAGATGTGCTCATTCAGTTGGGATTATTTATTTATTTATTTATGTATTTATGTTGGGATTATTACTGACTATTTCCTTGCAACCCACATGTGCATGTGAATTTTTAATTTTCATTGTATATGATTAAGTGCTTCATTGGTCTTAGTAAATTTCTGTGTTCTTCCAGCAACCTTGTGATTTCTTTATGTGTATTATGTAATAATATATGGTGAATCAGAAGCCACCATTTGTGAATGCTGGACTAACTAGTATTTTAAGGCATTAAACATTATTCGCTGCTGCAAAAAGAGAAAAGTGATGGACAAGCTGGCCATTCTATCATGTTACTGTTGAATCATGAGCACCTGGAAGAACAATGTTGAGTAATGCCATTTAAGTGAACATGGCTTACAGTGGTGAAATTCTTTTTAAAACTGGGAGATAGGGTAACAATGATCAGTAATTTAAAACTGATCAGGATGGTGGTGGGAGGAGCCTTTATGTATAGAAAAAATAAAGTAACTTCTGTCATCTGCAGCCCAATCCTATGCGTGTGTATTTGGGAATAGGTTCCACTGAACTCAGTGTGTTCTTTATTTCCAAGCAAATGTGCATGGGATTGTAACTGTACATCATGATCTGAAATATGTGTATTCAGATGTAAATTTTATAGGGTTTAATTGAATTTACCCTCACACTTAAGCTTGCAGCCTTATTGTTGTGCTATTTCTTTTTGAAACCATTGTTTCTAATGTAATAAAATACTATGTTTTTGTATATTAAAACCTGCCTTTTGCAACCACAATTCATATAACACTGAGTTTTTCATTTTTAAGGAAAAATTGCAAAGGTAACTGGCTCACTTATTTTAGGGTAAGTCTTACCTATCAAATGTCAATTTAGTTTATATAATTAAGTAAAGTTTGGTGATTAAAAAAAAAAAGAATACTGCCAAGGATACATTCCTTATCAAAGTTCCACCCCTCTAAGCCCGCAGACATCTGGCAGCTTAAGAGGGTGTAACTCTGCTTAACAATGCACAGGATATGTGGGAGGTATTAGTATTTCAGGTATCACTCAGAGCATTTGAGTCTCTCTCTCTCTCTCTCTATGTAGAACAGAGGTGGGCAATTTACCCAGCACCAAAGGCCACTTTAGAAATAAATTATAAGTAAACATATTACTATATATATTTGAGGAATGGCACTGAGTATTGCATTTAATTCTACATTTATTCTTTGGAAATGCATTCTCTAATGTGAGACAGAGGAGTCATTCCTAGAAAAATGTTGCCATTGCTTTAGAAATCATAAAGATTTAAAACACAGCTCCTTTTTGCTTCTTTTTGGCTCTCTGCTTTGTTTGTAATCCTTTAGCACTTTTTTTTACCTTTCCAGCATCAAACATCTAAAAACTGACATCTAAAGGAAAATCAAATTAGGCCATTTCAAGAGTGTGCAAGCTGTGTGCTGCCCACCCAAGCATAACACAGTGACACTGTGTTGGTGTAATGTGGCATATGCTGTTACAGAAATGCATCCATTCTTGCAACTATTCCTTAGCCTTAATGTTTGGTTCCTAAATGCAACTGATGCTGTTTCCAAAGGCCCTGATGCTCAGCTTTGGGAACAGGAAGAGGGAAATGAGAGGGGCTTTGGTGGCTTGTTGTCCCATGCCTTCATTGCTGGCTATGGATTTAGTCTTCCACGTTTTAAAATTTGTATTGCAGACTATATATTAGTAATTCCAAAATTCTGTATCAAGGCACACTAGTGGGCTGCCCTAAATAAATAAAAGACTCCTGTGATTCCAAAGAATTCATTCACAGAAATGATGTGAAATCTGTTTGCTGAATTCACTGCTCTGGCCTTGCGTTCTTCCAGCTGTCCTCCTTTGGAGGCACATAATGCCTTTTTAGGAGCTGCGGTGGCTCAAGTGGTTAAGACGCTGAACTGCAGGCTGTGGAAGGTCAGTAGTTCAGCAGTTCGAGACCCGAGTTGCCACATGACGGAGTGAGCTCCTGTCTCTAGTTCCAGCTCCTGCCAACCTAGCAGTTCGAAAGCAAGAAACTGCAAGTAGATAAATAGGTACCACTTCGGTGGGAAGGCAACAGCGTTCCGTGCACCTTGGTGTTTAGTCATGCCGGCCACATGACCACAGAAACGTCTTCGGACAGCGCTGGCTCTTCTGCTTTGAAACGGAGATGAGCACCGCAACCCTAGAGTCGGACTCGACTGGCTTTAGAGCAAGGGAACCTTTACCTTTAATGCCTTTTTATCTCTTTGACATGTGTGAATCAGACTCGACCATACAACAGAATTACTGGCCTTCAGCAGAAGTTGCCAGTTGTGCTTCTGTATGAGTTGTCGCTGTGGGCTTTCCTCATTCCAGTCAGGAGGAATGCTTAGGGCAGTGATTCATGAAGAAATGCAGGCTCTATTGAGAGGGCAGTTTATTCTCACTGCTTTACTCTCTAAAAATAAACCAGATGTAAGGGTGAAATCAGAACATTGAAAAACTCTGCCATATACTCTTGCTTTGCACTGACAAAGTTCACACTGCAATTGAACTTCTTAGTCACGCGTTTTGAAAGATTAATGCTGTTACAGATGAGGGTCTGGTCTCTGAAACATCTTTAGGATATGGCTTATTTGGTCTCCTCTCTCTTCAGCCATGTGCATGGCAGTGCATAATTATGCAGTTACATCTTTAATATGGGTAAAGCCTCCATGCAGTAGTTCTGTTTTGCCTTGCTTTGCCCAAATTGAGTGCCTGTTTGCTTTGCTTTCAAAACCAATGGCATGCTACTGTTTATGGTGAAGTGCTGGCCACGTCTAGGCCATATGGGCTTTGTCACTTTACTGTCAGTAGTTAACAGTAGGCTGCTAAGTACTTGCTTAAGGTTAAATCTTTTATTTCCAATTTGATTGATATGGCATGTAGCCCTTAATCTATATCCCTAAGTAAACCCTGTTGATTTGAATAGTACTTATTCCTCAGTTAACACAGTAAGATGTTTATTTGCAGATAAAGAGTTACATGGGTTGCATTTATTAAATTCTAAATACCATCATTTGATTTCACATTTGTGGCATAAATTGCTAATGAACGGATTTATGTCTATTTTTGCACCCAGTGATTTGTTTAAGAAATTAAGTATTTTAGAAATATATTTCATGATTTAATTTGATTTCTTAAAAGAGGACATTAGCTACAGTTTTTGAATGTCAAAATATTAATGCAGTGTTAGCCAAAGCTCATCCTTTTGTGGAAAGCACGGAACCAAAAGCACACACTAGCTGTCAATGGGTTACGTTTCAGTTGCATTTTTGGGTATTCCATTTGTTGGATACCTGTCTGTGTGTGCCTATATATTAAACAAACTACAAGAACCAAAATAGTGTTGTCATTTAGCATTCCAAGTGCTTGTGAGAGAACCATGTACAGTGCAGTTCTAAGCAGAGCTCCGCTCTTCTAAGCCCGTGAGTTTAGGAGGGTATGACTCTGTTTATGATTGCCTGTGGGCTTTTGGGATTGTACTGTAAGTATATTTAATTTTCTGATAATTATATACAGAGTTGGGTCTAACTTTTTACTTCTTTTATTTATTTATTTATTATTACATTTATACCCCACCCTCCCCAATGGGCTCAGGGCAGCTAACAAATGAGGCACATATGCCAAGCTAAAGAGATAAGTAACTAAGGTCTATATTTGTGTATTAACATTTGCATCAATACCTTTCTTTTTAAAGGGGTTGTGTCTTTGCTGCATACGAACTTCTTACTTTAAAGAGGTTGCTCTCATTTGATACCCAAGTAGTACAGCAAGAAAAACTGAAGTCCTACATTTATTTGCAAACTGCTTCTTTGGATCCAAATGAGTATCAGGGTAAGATACATGGATTACTTCTTTAATTGGAAAGAGCTGAAGGAGCAGCTTGGGAAACAAGGACAATAAATAAGATGAAGAAAAATAACAAGATCTTTAAGAACTGATCAGTAGTATAGATCACTAGAGAAATGTATTCCACAGGAGTCAAGGATTTGCCTATATTCTTTTAAAATGCTGTTCTAGTGTGACGTTTTATTCACTGGGGTCCATAGGCATAACCATCAAAAGTGCTCTGCTAATGCCTCTTCCCCCCACCCCCATAAACCAGGACAAGAAGTCATGCTTTTGCTGACTGGCAGGTATTGTCACTGTCAGAATCCAGAGACTGAATATATTTTTATGGGAAGGGTGAGGCTGAAGCATGAAAAGGGGTACACATAGTAGTCTCTGTGCAGCAAAAAAGAAACAAGCATGCATAATGTCACTGAAACTAAATGTGCGATGATTTTTATAGGTCTTATGTATCAAGTGAGAAAGGAACTTCACAGAGCTGCAAGGAAAATACTAGAAACAAATGCTAAAATATTTCGGTGGCCCTTTCAAGGTAGGTTTTATTTAGTATTTTCAGTTTTAAGAACAAATGTTTCATGCTGGGTTAGAACAGAGATCCATCCAACCTACCACTTTGTAGCCATGTTTAGTGAAATGTCCTGAGAAATTCACATAAGAGGTGGCGAAGACATTCACTACTTTGCTTATTAACTGTGGCCTGCTTTGTCTGCCTCATTCTTTCCAAACCAAATTCATTGCCTGATTATGTGACTATGCTTAAATAACCTTTGTAATCAAAGATGCTGTAGATTTCTAGTTTAAAAACTAGCGCTGGGTCCTAATGTCCTGTTTTTCACCAGTACAGCATGGTTACATAAGCAGAGAGGGTGACAGGTTGACTGGCAGGCGTCTCAGAGCAAAAGCTATCCATAGGTTCAGAAGTAAAAGCCAGACAGATAAGCAAGGAAACAGGCAAAGGCCTGGATAGGTGCTCTATAATAACTTGAAAATGATGTTTGTTTGTTTGTTTTAAATAAAGACTCTGTCAGTCCATTTGATGCAGAAGAGTATGAGAGTGCCCTGTGGCTCCTTCTGAAAAGAAGCCAGTCAGAAGACAAAGCGGTTCGAATGCAAGCTGTGCAGGATCTGGCCTCCAATCATTTCTGGCGAGGTAATGTATCGGCCTCAGGGCACTTACTTGTGAGTTAGTGGTCACAACTACCATGCATGTACTATTATGAAAAGAATCCTCTGGTGAAGCGGAGTGGCTATACAATCTTTCAAGATTTTCTCCTGTACAGTCCCCTCTGTGCAGCTCAACAGGAAAGTCATTTCAGTGTGTGTGTGTGGGGGGGGGGTATAGAAGAGATTCCTGGTGGATTGGGCCTTAATTCCCCCCCCCCATTTTTGCTCAATTTAGTTGTGTGCGTATTTATATCTGGTATCTAAAGAAGCGAGCAGTGACTCATGAAAGCACATACCCTGCCACAAGGTTTGTTAGTTTTTAAGGTGCTACTGGACTCTTGCTCTTTTCTACTGTACATGCTCATACACATATATTTTAAGTTGAGTTCTTACTAATATGAAATCCATACAGTGGGAAATCATGATGACTTTAAAGCAGTACCCTATAGCCTTTCCCCTTTAATCATAGCCTGTAATGTGAGCCTGCTTTAGCTGACTCCTGAGCCTTTCCCCTTCTTTCTACCTTTCTGCTTGTTTTTCTTCTCCTTTATTTCTGGAGGTCTTTGTCCTTCTCTTAAAACCTTAAAAAAAAGAAAATGATGGTGGTGTGGGTGCAACCCGCCTTAAGGCATAACTAATTTGCAAATAAGATCTGGAGTTGGACATCTTTTCAATTATGTTTTTGCTTTCATTATTGCTGACAGCACTTTTTTTGTATGTTTTCAGTAGTCCACTTGTAATTTTGTCTAAGTCCCTGATAATAGAAAGAAGTGTAGTAAAGTCCCTAAAGGCTGAGTTTGTTTACTTTTATACCTTGCCTTTCTTCCCAGTAGGGACCCAAAGCTGTTTTGCATTGTTCTCTCCTCCGTTTTATCTGCACAACAGCCATATAAGGTAGACAAGGCTGAGTGTGTGTGACTGGCGCAAGGTCACTCAGCAGGCTTCCATGGCATGAGTGAGGATTCAAACCTGCCCCCCCCCCAGATCTTTGTCTTTCACTCTAAACACTGTACTGCACTGGGGAACTCTGCTATTTCTTGGGCTGGCGCACAGATATATCAAGGCAGAGCCTCTTCATATGGTCTCTTTAAAAGTTCCTCCAGTCCTGGCCCCACTATCATCCCTGCTGATAGTCAAATGAGTGGAATGAATGCTTACCAAGCATATATAAAGGGATTCTGCTGAAGCTTTAGCTCTGTTAAGGTGGGGACTGAAGCTTCCCTAAACTTGGTCTTAAAAGCTCAGGGTTTGCACAGCTCCCTTTCTTCCAAAGTTCAGGAGCTTCTGTACTCTGAAACCTGTCAGCTCAGGAACTGCACACTTTCTTAATCGACTTTCAGATCAACCTTTGGAGAATTTTGCACACTTCCTTAGCTGTGATTAATGTCCAGTACTTGTACAAAATGCAGAGTATTTTTTAAAAATTTCAAACCACTCAGCTTTTCAGATAAAGGTTTTTTCTAGGGGTGTGTAAAAAAAAAATCAGTATTTTTCAGGTTCAGGTATATTGAACCCCCCAAATATCAGTATTTTCCAATATTCCTGAATCCCAATATTGGTATGGCATTGGGATTCAGGAATTTTTTGGAAAACGCAAAAATTTTCTGCTCCATTATACCCTATGGGAACCATTGGTCTCTTTAAATGCCTACTGCCTTCTCCAAGTGCAGTGACAGCGGCACAACTCAGCAAGTGAACTCAGAAGACATATGCTCAGTTGTGCTGCAGCAGCAGGGCTTGGAGGAGTAGGCCATAGGCATTTAAAGAGACCACAGTCTCTTTAATTGCCTGCTGTGTTCTCCAAGTGCAGCAGCAGTGGCACAACTCAGCAAGTGAACTCAGAAGGCGTCTTCTAGGTTTATCATAACTGCCGCCTCTTTTATTCCATGTGGCATAGCATCATTTCCAGACTGAGGGTCTGACTGCCTTGTTCTCTTCACCCATATGTTAATTGCCAATGTGTATTATATATACAAGTCTTACAAATCTGAAACAGACCAAATTTTTCAAGGAGTCCTACTCCAATGTTTATTTTTGTACAGATTATCAGTATAGGGCAGCTGCCCAAGCTAGTGATCAGAGAACTGCAATTGGCTTAGCACGATGTAAAGATGTTGACCTGCGATTTTTCCTGCCACCACCTCCTTTACCAAAGTCAAAAGATGTAAGTACAGTAAAATCCAGACTTCCTTTGGCCAACAGCTTCTTTTCATAACAGGTATTTGAGCACTAATGCCCAAGAGCTGACATATGATAGCTAGCTTGATGTAATAGCCAGCTGGTATCTTCATCCATGTGAACAGGTATCATTTTGAAATCTATATGTATTCAGTGCTGAATTGTAGATGGTCTTTATTCAGTCATTCGAGCTGTCTGTAATCTGTGAGCAAGATGAGATGAAGTCTGAGCAAGTCTGAGATGGACAGGAATGATAGTGCATGTTAATAACACTGAACCCCAGATTTTCAGAGGATCTTACTTTAAGATTTAATATAAATATTGAATAGCAGTAATAAAGAAATGGAATCTTGAGGCACACCATTAACCAACTGAATTCACAAATGTCCAAGGGCAGACCATTTTAACCTCACCACTGCCCCTGCAGGAGGGGAGCACAAGAACCACACATGCCTTCATTAGGTAACAATCAGTCCATGTGATCAGTCCATGACAAAGACTATTATAACCCCTTCTACCAGGTCACCAGAAATTTGCACAGTGTAGAAAAGCAAATCTAGGGTACAAGTGAGGACCCACAGGAATTGTAGGAGGTGGCTCCCCCCATCCATTTAACCCCAACTACACTTGGAGGCAATTCCCCCAATTCCACTTGACTGTAGCCTCACTGCCTAAACAGCAGTAGCTCCCCCCAGGCCTTCTGACTCCAGCTATGGTGACAACTGAGGTGACTTCCTCCCATTCTACCTGACCCCAGCCTCACTGCCTTAGCAGCAGCAGAAGCTCCCCCCAGCCCTCCTGACCCCAGCTGCGGTGATAATGGAGGTGGCTCCCCCCCATCCCACCGAACCCCAGTCTCCCTGCCTCAGCAGCAGTTGTGGCTCCCCCCCCAGCCCTCCCAGCCCCAGCTGCAGCAATGACGGAGGTGGCTTCTCCTCGTCCTACCTAACCTGAGCCTTGCTGCCTCAATGGAGGTGGCTCCCCAGTGTCTCACCCAACCCCTAGCCTCACCATCTAAATGGAGGGAGCTCCACCCCAGTCCTCCTGACCCCAGTTGTGGTTATGATGAGGCAGTTCCCACCATCTCGACCCAACCTTTCCATGTGAGTGGTGGCAGCGGCTTCTCCCCAGCCCTCACACCACCAGCTCCAATAGAGTAGAATTGTCTGCACATGTACAAATAATGCTCCTCTATTTGGGGGGTGTGTGTGTTTATGGCTCTCCCAGTTTTCAGATTTTTCTGCAAACCTGGGTTTTCCCCCAAGTTTGCAGAAAAATCTTCCTTCTGTGTAAATGAGCCTGATCTGCAGATTTAAGTATCTGCAGATGAAGACACAGTTATTACTGCATGGCCATTAGATATACGATGATCTTTCTCATGTGTTGGGGACCAGTACAATCAGTGATAGGGCAGCAGTTGTAATGCTGGCCATAAAGTCCTTAGGAAAGCCTAACAAGATTGCCTCAACATGAATATTAAAGCATTGTGGGGGACAGCAAGATCCTGTTCAAACATGCAGACCCTTCAACCAAGGTCACCTAACCTTGTTGTGCTAATATTGCCCACGTAGTGACTGAGGACCCAGTTTAAATGAGCTGCTGACTGTGAACAGTGTCACATGGGTAAGTTCTTTGGTCCTGTCTGTATTGTGTTTAAAAAAGATCTGAGTAAGGGAATAAAGTAATTAATGACAACAGTAGCTGTTGGCCTCTGCTGCCTGATCTGATAAATGTCAGCTGCATGGGCGCAGAAGTGGCCCATAAGTCCGTTTTATTTTTAGCTGTGAATAGCGTAATACTTTCAGGACAAAGTGAGCTTGCTTAGTAATAAAAATGAGTATTGCAGCCTGGGGAAATTCAGATTATTAACTGGTGTTCAGACTTTGGCAGTATCACTATATATAACAGACTAATCTTCTAGGTTGGCAGGAGGAACATGGATTACTTTGGATCCAATAATGCTAAGGAAGTTGCAGGCTGATGTTTCTTTTTTGTTTCTTGGTAAGGAGGAGCTGCGGTGGCTCAAGTGGTTAAGACGCTGAACTGCAGGCTGTGGAAGGTCAGTAGTTCAGCAGTTCGAGACCCGAGTGTGCCGCATGACGGAGTGAGCTCCCGTCTCTAGTTCCAGCTCCTGCCAACCTAGCAGTTCGAAAGCAAGAAATTGCAAGTAGATAAATAGGTACCACTTCGGTGGGAAGGTAGCAGCGTTCCGTGCGCCTTAGTGTTTAGTCATGCCGGCCACATGACCACGGAAGCGTCTTCGGACAGCACTGGCTCTTTGGCTTTGAAACGGAGATGAGCACCGCAACCCTAGAGTCGGATTCGACTGGCTTCGAGCAAGGGAACCTTTACCTTTACCTTTTAAGGAAGCGAACAGGCTACCTGAGAGTTCCAAGGGGAGACCTGGCAAATCCTTGGGCTAGGAGCAGACAGGACCATCTAGAGACGTGTTCATCCACATACCACAAGGCCCGGCTGCTGTAATTATAGTTATTAAGGTTCACTCTAGCCATCTTCATAGGATTGTGATAGAACATAGGGAGGCAGTCTCCAAACTAGGCAAGAGTCACGTCACCCAGAGGGCACTACCGTCCAAGAGCAGTGTCATGAATGACTGCTAGCCAGTTCACATCAGCAAATCACCACTAAAGCCTTGCTTTTGATGTCCATCACTCCCAGCAGTGTCGCATCTGTTCTTTCACATTGTTCAGTTTTTCTCCATAATTTTGTTCTCTCTGATTTTGGATGATATGTTGACAGAAATGCTTATTGCAGATGCGCTGTCTGGAAGATGAACTTCGAGTGCTGCTGGCAGCCTTACCTCAGACGGATTTTGACCAGTGTGTACGGTATTTCACATCCTTGGCTTTAAGAGAAAGCAGCCAGACCATTGCTGCACAAAAGGTATGTTCTGACATTTCAGTGGATTGTCAGAAATGAAGTGGTATATGTAACATGCCACATAAGCTCTGAGTTACTGATGATGCCAGAAAGTTTAATAAAAACGTTTTATCCTAAGCCCTGTTATCTAGATAACCTGAGGGAACATTAAAAACTATTTTTGCCGTCTTGTAATTTCCTAATTTTTATGGTTGCTGCATTCTGCAAGAGTGATGTTGGTTTGCAGACTTAGTTTCCTGATCAAATATTTGCTTAGTTCCATGTGTGTAAGTTCCTTGGACTTATGTCCCTCAAGTAACCATTATTGTGTCTGGAGGTAGGTAGTGAATACAAAAGTCGGTGATTAATTTTTTTAAAAAAATAGAAAATAAAAAAATGTACCAATGTTGAATATTTTAATATTTTCCTGCAAGGTAATTTTTGGAGCAGGGGAGCCCTCAATCTATCATCTATCAGTTCAATTTATTGTACATAGCATTACTGCCTAGCAATATAAAATTGTTATAAAACCAGATCAATGATCTGTGAATCAATCTCATCAGGTCACCACTAGAGCAATTCAGTATATAATTCTGAACCAATTGAGAACAATCCCTAGTGGCACAACCCTCATATGGCACATCTTTGTACGTTACAAATTTGTCTGTATCCAATAACAGATAAAACCGTTTGTACTGCAAAGGCCAGTGAATCATCTTTGTGAGCAATGATCACAATCATGCCTCCCTAAGAGGGCAGAAAACCCTGTCATGATTGACGTCTTTGATATTGCCAGGCCCATCAAGGGCAAAACCTTTCATCAAATGGAATATTATTACATTGGATAGCTTTTACGGCTGATTCCATTGCCTGAAATCAGAGTGAATAAAACTTTGCTGGAAGTTCAGAGGTCTTGTATTTAAAAGATTATTTGCCCACCGCGGCCAACAGATCTAGGGTTTTCAAGGTTAGATTTCAATTTTTCAAATTGATCTCCCATTGGTATTACACCCTGAGTCGTTTGCACCACATAAATAACATTTACCCACCACTTTGCTGGAAAAATTGTGGAGCGGTTGGGGACTACTTGTACTGTTGGTGGATACAGCATTTTTAGGAGATTGTAGTTGCTGAAATAACTAAGATAACGTCACAAACGCTTCTGATGAAACAAGAAACTATTCTTTTACATCTCAGAGATTCATCAAAAGGTGAGGATTCTTACCAGCACTTAACGACGTACCTACTTGCAGCAGCTAAACTCACCATAGCGGCCTCCTGGAAATCGACCAAACTCCAACGGTGGAGGAGTGGAGAAATAAAGTGTGGGAACAATTCATTATGGATAAAATCAATGACACTTTGATCACATCTCAATCAAAATCTTGCATGACTCACTCCAATTTGGTGCACACCTGGTTTCCCTTTCTGCAATACATGATGGAAAATGATCTTCTATCACGAAACCCAAGCTACAAGTCCTGGCTTCACTTTTGATCCGATAACTCCCCTAATACCTCAGTAATACAAAATCTCAATTGGGGCTGCGGTCACACGGAGCATTAGCCACGCTAGAGCGATGGAAGACAAGCGGAGTTTCCGGGTGCGATCTCACCAGCACATCTGGGAAGCGTAGCACTTTGTGACGCAACCGAGGCTTCCCGACGAAAACACGCAGCAAAAAACTAGTACCTCGGAGGTACTAGTTTCCGGAAACTGCGGGGCAAGGGCAGGCGTCTGATCGCGTTTCCGGAGGCACCCGGCGCCCGCCCATGTCCCCTTGCAAAACAGGTTTTTTTTTTCCCAAGTCTCCGTGGATGCACACAAGCACCCAACGGAGCATGCGCAGTCGCGGTGTACACAAAAAAAACCATCCAGTTTGCCGCACCACGCGCTTCTTTTTTGCGCGTGGGATTGTCATGCGATCGGCACCTCTCCCTTCCCATGGAACCTCCACGGTACCTCCACGGGAGGTCTGATCACTTTACCGCACAGTAGTTTGCCCCGGGGCAAACTGCCATGCTTCCCCCCCGCAGTTTCCTGCCCGTGTGACCGGGGCCTGGGTTCATTATTCTTGACAGTAGACAGTACTCTCAGGCAACTCCTAAGTAGTGTGTTTTACACAGCTCCTCTAAACTGATTATACTGATGTATAGCTCAGCAAATTATTATAGGTGTGTTTTCAGTTATTTGCTATAATTTTTGTGTAACCCCCTCTGTTTTCATTGTTTCATTGCATAATGTTGTGTAGTTTGTATGTTAACAATAAAACTTAAATACTTTTTTTTAAAAAGAGAGATTATTTTCCCAGTAAGGCTGTGGTTTGAATTTAAGAAGACATTTTTGAAAGTCCATTTGCTGTGCAATCTTCTTGGAATTCCCAAATGGCTAGCCTATTTCTAATGGAAGTTTAGTTTCAAGAACCCTTAGCTCACCAACAAAAATAAAATCCATTGAACAACTACATGTGTTCAGATTTATGTACCTGCACTAGCCAGGGATTAGGGTGGAGATTGTCTAAGTAATTTTTCAGGCATAGATTAGGCAACCTCCCATTCTCCATAAACTACAATCCTGATCAGTAACTTGGTCATACGATACATAACCTTTGGTCATAACAGAAATTAAATCCTTTGCAAACCTGATTGTTGCTGCTGACATGTTTCCGGGCAAGAATAAGAAGGCTCCCCACTTGTCGCTGTTGTAATGCTTCTCTTTTTATACCACTTGTTGTCGCTGTTGTAATGCTTCTCTTTTTATCTGTTGGAGAGAAGTGTCATCTTGCAACCTAGTTCTGTCTTTTGGGAACAGGAAGAAATAGGCAGTTGCAACACATCTGAGTGGGGTTATAAGTTTGGGTCATCTCCCTTTTCCTCCATCAAAGTTGCTAGGACAGTACCTGTTAAGTCTAACTCTTGAACTATTTGATTTTGAAATTCATTTCTGATTCATTTATTTCTAGGGGGGCTTATGGTGTTTTGGTGGAAATGGTCTGCCTTACTGTGAAAGTCTCAGTGCTGTCCCTGCTGACACAGTAGAACTCTTTTGTTTGCAAGCTTTAGTGCAACATTCCAAGGTAACTCAACAGATAATTGAAGCTCTATGTGGTTGGTATTTAAGACTTTGAATATGGCGGAATGTGTTTTCTGGCTCTTAGTGATGATCAGATTGCACTTTTGTGTTTTGAATAATTTTGCAGTAGATTTTCAACAGTTTGGACATTACCATATTATACATTTCCTGTACTTTTTGTATAATTGTAGATTCCTACTCATTGTGATAAAATTGAATCACATGGTGGGCTTCAACTGCTGCAGAAGCTATACCAGCTTCGTAAAGATTCCGCAAAAATACAAAGGAGCATAATTCATATAATTGGAAACATGGCACTGGATGAACGACTTCATTCATCTATATTTCGTGCAGGTAGTAGGAAAACTTATTGGCTTCTGCTATTAATAAAATTGGGGAAATAATGATGGGAAATAGAAAATCCTGTAGTTGTCTTCAAGTCATGTTGTGGTGTTTTTAATCAAACGTTTAAGGCTTTTTGTCAACACATTGTTCAATAAGCTAAAATTCAAAAGTGCCTAGACGTGTCATTCTGAGAAGAAGAACTAAGATATTACACCAGGTGGTCCCAGAGTAAATAGGTGGCTGAAAATAAATAATTGTTAGGATTGTGAGTACATCATAATGCATGGAAATTAAGATGGATAAGTGCAGTTTACCAGTTGGAGGAAAGTAGTCCTTTCACTGCTAACTGACTGGGCCAGTTTTTCCTGTGAGCCAACTCAAGAGGCAAAGTTTTTTTTCCTGGAATGTACCACTTCAAGTCGTGAATAGTGATTGTCTGTCTGAATGTTGCTTCACCAAAAACGAAGTACTTTCACACAGAAAAGTAGCATGCTGGGCAGATGTTACAAAAATTAAAAAATAAAGGAGGAAAAAAACAGTTTTTCCAGGTCAAGATCTTAAGAGCCTGTCATGATGGCCTTTGATGCTGGAAGCTGGCAGGGTCACAGTTTGATTGGTGTAGGTGTGTGATTACACACTTGCACTCTGGGAAGAAGAAACAAACAATGGAGAGTCCGGCAAGGTCCGAATGTCACCAAAAACCCATATGAGAATCACAGTTCTCTTTGCAAGCTGAAAGCAGATAAAATCTGGGCAGTCCGATTCCAGCTTGGGTCCAGTGTTGCACAAACAGACTTCTCTCAGTTCTCCTTGTGCATGGTCTTCCATAACACCTAGCACATTAATCCTCATATAGTATAATGCCCAGAAATTGGTTGCACAAGTTCTAGCGCAAGTGAAAATGCAAGTGGGGATAGAATAAGTTTGATTTAGTGCAAGTGGCTGTCTCAGCCTTTTTCTTACTTTTCTGCTTCCTCTCTGTCGCAAGTGGAAATTTTGCATTACCTCCATCCCTGTCTCTTTTGGAAATACTTGGTTTGTCCCAAAATACTTCCCTGACAAGTCTAATTGTTCTTCCTGATACCCTCAACCAGTGTTTCCTCTAAACTGAGTTAGTGAGAGCTAGCTCACAGTTTTTAGCCTCTGGCTCACACATTTTTGTCTTAGCTCAGGAAGGATGGTTCCAGAGCAAACTATTTTATGCAGTTGCCAAATCACCTGCTCACAACTTTAATGCCACTAGCTCACAAAGTAGAATTTTTGCTCACAGGGCTCCACAGCTTAGAGAAGAAGAAGAAGAGATTGGATTTATACCCCGCCCTTCACTACCCAAAGGAGGCTCAGAGCATCTTACAATCTCCTTCCCCTCCCCACAACAGACACCCTGTGAGGTAGGTGGGGCTGAGAGAGCTCTGACAGAAACTGCTCTTTTTCAAGAACAGCTGTGCCAGAATTATGACTTGCCCAAGGTCATCCAGCCAGGTGCAAGTGGAGGAGTGGGGAATCAAACCCGGTTCTCCCAGATTAGAGTCCACACATTTAACCGTGCATTGCCCTCAACTTATCCATGCATACCTATCTGCAAAACTTATCCATGCATACCTATGAAAAGCTCACAAGTAGAGTGTGGATGAACTTGTATTCACTCAGTACATCAGCCGTGGTAGCAGACCCCAGCTTGCTGACTATTGCAAACCAAGGTGCTAAAGAGCTGTGACCCATTCAGTTTAGAACTGCAATGGAAGACTTTCCATAAAGTACCGTGTGCATATTTTTCTTGTAATATACAGTAGCACATTTTGTTTTACCAGATAATATATATTTCATTTCATGTTACGTGTTTAATTTGATTCAACTGTAGGTTGGGTTTCAGTACTAGCTGAAGTAATGAAGTCTCGGCGTATCATGGATTCCTCGCATGCAGCAAAAGCCTTGGCCAACCTAGACAGGGAAACGGTCCATGAGAAGTATCCAGATGGAGTGTATCTTCTACATCCACAATGTCGAAGTAGGTAAGGATGGGGGCTCATATCTATCCTTCTGCTTCAGCAGTCAGAGTAGGTTTGTAAGTATTCTTTCTGAAATATTGAGCTTTCCCTTTGGCAACCTACTCTCAGGGCTGGTTCTCATTGTGAACGGTGAAGGCCTTAAGAGGCTGTGTGTGTGTGCATGAATGTTTGTCTATTATCATGTGCAATAGTAGCTGTCTTTAATTTACAGACCACGTTAGGTAGGTTACAGAGAGACTCTTTCAGCCCAAACATAACATCCTTCTTGGCTTCCTCTGCCTGGCCTTTCGCTCTGCCGCATGGCACGCCTCTCATAGTTCTGCGCATGGGTTGAGATTGCCCTCCTCTCCCAGAGGGCAGGGCTCCTTTTCCCACCTTTACACCCGAGACTCCTTTCTGGCCTTGGTTGGCCTGATTGCCAGGCTGCATAGCCTGGGGAAATCCTTTAGGTTCTTTGCTAATGCAGGCTCCCATCCCACCAGTGAGTGTGCTTGCTGACCTCTTTCTCCCAGGTTGGTCCATTAGGCACCTTCTGCCACACCTGAGTACACATTCATTATTTGAGGGCTTGTATTTGTGAATTAACAGTCACAGATCCTTAGTTGCTGTAGATTTTCCGGGATGCATTTGTGAATTAACAGCCACAGATCCTTAGTTGTTGTAGATTTTCCGGGATGTGTAGCCGTGGTCTTGGCATTGTAGAACCAGACGTTTCGACAGTAACTGTGACTGAAATCCTCAGAGGTATAAACACAGAAAGATGGAATACTCTGTGTCAAGGTGAGAAGAAAATGGTAGGCAGTAAATTTATATCTACTCCAGGAGGTGGGTAGGGCTGAGTCATTGTCTTGTAGGGAGTTCCCCAGGCTATGGACATGCTAATGGAGGAGCTTTCCTGAGGAGGTTCTTTTGTTTCCTGAGGAGGTTTCCTGCTTCCTGAGGAGGTTGTTGAAATTCTAATCTTATCTGTAGTGCTATTGTCTGATGTAAAGCCTTTTGTGTTTTTCAGGACAGGAAGCCATGTCCTATTTATTTTTAAACTCTCTTCTTTCCTGTTAAAATTATGTTTATGTTTGTGAATTTCAATGGCTTCCCTGTGTAATCTGACATGGTAATTGAAAGTGTTGTCCAAGCTTTCAGTGTCTTGGGACAAAATACTGTGTCCTGTTTGAGTTAGGCTATGTTCAGCCACTGCTGATTTTTCAGGTTGGCCAAGTCTGCAGTGTCTTTCATGTTCACAAATGGAACTTTGATCTGATCTCACCTCCCTTCAAAGGGGTCAGGTTACATGTTCATCTGCTAGTCAGCTGTTGAGAAAGCAAGTGAAAATCCTCCCTATGTGAAAGATTCCTCATAGGAATTATTTGTAGTGTAAGCTGCTGAGCAGCTGACCTGTTGCTCCATTGGTCCTCTTACTCCATTGTCCAATGCATTTCCTCTACACACTGGGAGGAAAATATTTTGTATTGTAGAGGCAGGCACTACAATCCATCAGTTTAGCCACTGGCTCAAATCCAGAGAAAGTTTAGGAGTGACTAAGCGTAGTTTAATGGGATTAAAATCTTAGCCACGTATTTAAACCCTATTGAGTTAAGTAGCTTGTGACTAGATCTAACTTTTATTCTTCTGACTTCTGTGGCAAGCAGTTACTACTGGGAGAGAGGGCAGCAGTATAAACAGAAGTATATATGTGGAAAGCACTGTGTTTAATGTCATACTTGATTAAATCCAGACCAAAGAGGATAATGACTGATCTAGACATCTAATTCTGAATATGCCCCCCAAAGTGGATAAAAAATCCTGCAAGGGGGGTACCCAGGAATAGATGGGAGCTGTTCAACTATTGTATCTGCCACATATAACCATTGTGGTAAACATGGTTTTTAGTTTACACCACCACACTCTTCAGTCTTTAAAATGAATGAATCCAGGCTTTACTGAAAGTAGTAACTGAAACAGTCCATTTAAAAACCCATCAATTTTCATTGTTTTGAAAAGATAGGTTGTCTTGTATATGGTGGGAAATGTTCTGGGGCAAAAAATAAAATAAAAGTTGGCCTACCTGTGAAGTAATGTGAGATTCTGAAGTACAGAGTGCCTTTTGCCCCAGTGTTGGTCTTATTCAGTCCAGTACAAGAATCAGGAGGAAAGGCCCATATATATATTTATTAAGGAATCTTATACTGACTGCAAAATATTTATTGCAAAATATTTATTGGCAAAATATTGGACACAGAAACTATTACCTTTATTTGATAGTCAACTTAGAAAATGCTCATCCCTTAAGTGCTTATGGACAATATTATAATGTATCACAAATATTTATTGGAAATATTTTTTTATACAAACTGAATTTATTCAGAGATGGAGACAGGGGGGAAAGTGAAGCCTAAAGAGAATGTAAGATGAAAAGTTTTGGCATGTTTGTAAATAATTTTATTTCCATGAGGTATTTATGAAGATCCATATTTGTTCTTGTAGTTTTTTCCTCCTTTTCTAATACTCTGTGATATTTAGGTGTATGCTTTATTGTAAGTTATGTCTTTTTCTTAAAAATAAAAAATGTAAAAAGTAGAAGACTTTTGGCAGAAGATAGTGGGAAAGGCCATTGAAGAAGCAGCAAGATTCAGATGCTTTCACACCTAAGATACATATTTGCATACTTCCATATATTTCATCAGTGAAGCATTACAGCTCAACTATGGGACAACAAAATTTGTGGAAATCTGCTCAGAAAACATCTTCATCCAAAAAAGTTATAATTTTGGTCTTCAGGAAATAACACTTTAGAAACACATGGATTGAGAAAACAGGATTACCCATCCCAGTATATGTAAATCATCTACAGCAAGAAGTAGTAGATCAAGTAGCTAAAATATATATTGGTCTGTCCACCAAACTGCAAGGTACAACCAGAACAAGTACTAATAAATGAGGAAATCTTGGTGATACAATGTACACAGCCCACACGTTGAAGTATACTGTTTAGACATACCAGAAAGGTATGGAAAAACAAATGTTATTTTCTATATTATTAGGACATGGAAGAAAATGCATTGCAGTATCTTGGGCTGAAGTATCAGTGACATTATTGAACAACAGTCCATAGTAAATTTAAATTACCACATACTCTTATTGAGAATTTTGTTATCAGCATTATCACTGAACAGTAAACAAGCAAGAAACATCATTAGTTCTTTGGGATGAGTCATCTCTTGTATCAACAAATTCCCTTATGCTTCAAACATAGACTACTGGTGCATTTAATGTAAACACATATGGAAAAGTAATTTCATCAGGAGGCTTTTGACAGATTTTACCAGTTGCACCCCACTCATCAAGCCATGCAGTAATAAACATTTGATTGAACAGAAGCCCACTTCAACCACTTCTCAAAACACTCAAATTAACAAAAACATGAGGGCACAATCAGAGGCTACGTTTGCACAGTATGTCTGCAAATGGAAAATAGAACTATACTAACACTTAGATCTACATCAAGCTCTGCTATTAGAATTCTAGAACAGGGCTTAACGTCTGGCATTATAACAGCAGTCTATGGTACTACTTTCTTTTCTTTTTTTATAATTTTAACTTCACCATAAACAGGTGTATCTGGTACAATGTTTAAATTACATACAGCGAGTCTATCACATTATTTTTTACCTAACCAGGTATATAATCTTTCTATGGTACTACTTTCAAAGAAGGCTCCATTCCTCAGCATTATCCAAGCTCCAAAAATGACTTCTGTGATTACATTAACGTGTCATTTATAACATGGATGGAGAAACCAAAACCTTATAATAATAATAATGCTTTCATAATAATTTTTCATAATTATGAAATATCTCACAATTTCTGAATTCATTAGAAAATAGTGGGCTGCAGCTATGTAAACTAACACTCAAAAGGAAGCTATTGTAATTCTGCTGACAAAGTTAAATCTCAAACAATAGATTAATGAAGTTACCTACCTACAAATGCTAAATGGGTTTAGTAAATTTAGATGTCAAGATAACAGGAGAAGCAATTAGACACTGAGTAACACTACAAATAATATATTTAACACCAACCAACACAACATTTCCATTCGAACTGTGATGATGACAGTTTCCTATAACACCAGCCTTTGCAATTACAATTAGTAAAATTCAAGGACATACATTGACAAATGTAGGATTATAGGAACCATAGTGCTGTCCTAAACAAAATTACACCCTCTAAATGCATTGACATAAATGTATTAGGAAAGGTATAACACAGTTTAGGATTCTGCTGCCAGTCTTTACACATGGAAATATATATTGGAATGTCCAAATCTACATCTTTTGAATTTAAAGCTTTGAGTTTGCAATACTTGAATTTGAGGATTTCTTAGAAATGAACCAGGAACATTGATGTCAAGTGAGTATTCAAAGAAATACTTTAATAGAAAACAGCACTACAAATTGTTACAAGTAACACAAGATTAGAGACAAACAAATATTTTTCAATGTACATACAAACAGAGAAAATAAATGTTTAAAAACTGGAGATGTTATATGTATATGTAGATACAAAACCAAAGAATATACTATAACAAAAATATACAACAGGAAGTACTTGCAAACAGAGAGGCAACTAGCAAATATTCTAAAATTTCACTTATAAATACAACAACCCAACAGAAAAATTTGTATGTAAACATTTGTTTTATTTTTTCCTTTAAATGTCAACAGAGAGCTTATAGTGTTTTTTAACATGCATGCACATAGCAAATGATTAGTGTTTTCTGCATGCGTCACATATCTTGTGCCTGTAAGAAAAGGTTAAAAATTAAATATACAGGCTATTTTTTAATCGCTTAGTCCACTACAGAATACAGATCACATAATGCAGTTTCAAAAAGAATAAATTACAGAAACATGAGAAGACACCAAGGAAAAATCTGTTACATTTTGATGAGGATCTTATCACCAGCTGTATGGTGGTGTGCTTGTGGTAGCGAAGCCTCTGACACAATTTGGCTAAGCTTGTATGCTGGTGTAGAATGTTCAGTTGCTCAGAGAATTAAACAGTTTGCAGTCCTGGTTCTATCAAGGAAGATAATGTTGTCAGTATGGATGGAATTAAAAATCTCACACAGAAGCAGAGAGAGGACTGGAAAGAGTTCTGCAGTGCAGGGAGACTAATGGATGACCAGAGACTGAAGGCAGAGTACAGAATAGGTTCTGAAGGAGTAAACCTGAAGGGTAGGTGATGTGAGGAAAAGTACAGTGGAGACACAGCATTGAGGCAAGAAGGGGCTAATTATAGGACGCATTCTAAGGAAATTTCATAGTGCTTAAGACCAGTAGGAACTTTATGAAGTGTGATGGAATGAGATCAAAATGCTAGGTAGAGAAAGAAGTGGTTGCTAGGTCTTTCTAGACTGAAATAGTAATTCTGCCAGTTATGCCTTCTGCTGTCAATGCAGCATTGTGACCTAAAAACACTAAGAGGTCAATGAAGACCAAAATATGGGGGAGGGGGTAGATTTAACATAAAGATTTAAACTTAGTAGCCATTTTTTGGATATTATATATTTTATAATATGTATTTTTTCTCTTTTATAACTTCACTCTCAGTCAGCCCATTAAAGCTGATGTCCTTTTCGTTCATGGTCTTTTGGGGGCAGCGTTTAAAACTTGGCGGCAACAGGACATTCAGCAGTGTGCAGATGAGAAGGAACTGGATGCAGAAGATGACTACAGTGAATGTTGGCCAAAGGTATGGAGGCAACCACAAATGTTTATGAGATGAATTTCTGCTCTGTCTTGAAGGTCACTTTGTCACCTCAAGCAGGTCTCTGGAGAGGCAGCATTTATATTTCCTAAATAAAAATAAATATTTTAGCCTTGCCTGCCTTAGAGGATTGGTGTGAGGGTAAAAAATTGAATAATACCCATCTGTGCAGCCCTGAACTTATTAGAGAAAGGGCAGGATATAAGTGTGATAAATAATATGTAGGTAAAATTAGCAGTTCTTTAAACTGAACAGCGATTTCTGATTATAGTTTAAGCAGGATCCCTGGTTGTCCTTAACTGTGGTTACCATTATCATGTTTAATTATTTAATTTTATTGGCTGACTTTCTTGCTTCCAATATAGATAAAATACATAAAATAGAATACAGGAAGTACATAGAAACTAAATTTTAAAACCAGAATTTGGGACTATTAGGCCTGGGTCACATGGGCAGGAAAATGCGGGGAGGGGGGGGAGCGTGGCTGTTTGCCCCGGAGCAAAATAACGCGCGGTTGCACGATCAGACGTCCCGTCAAGGTCCCGTGTTTAGGGGGGAGGTGCCGATCACACGACCATCCTGCAGCGCGGCAAAGAAGCTGCGTGGCGCGATCACACCAGCAATCGCTAGGTGCCGCTTCCGTGGCAAGGCATAGCCAATGGAGGGGGAGGTGGGCCCCCTCGTCACAGCCGCTCTAACCACCTGCGCGACAGTGGCCATAGTGACCCTCCAGAGGCGGCAAGCCTGGCTGCAGTGGGAGGGGGCCTCTTTGTGCGCATGCGCCGTTGGGCGCTTGTGCGCATCCTGTGGAGACTTGGGGGGAAAAACCTGTTCGCGACAGGACATGGGTGGGCGCCGGATGCCACGGGATTCCACCGGAAACGCGATCAGGTGCCCGCCCTTGCCCTGCGGTTTCCGGAAACTAGTACCTCAGAGGTTCTAGTTTTTTACCCCAGATGTGGTGGTATGATCACGCCCGGAAAATCCGCCTATCTTCCGTCTCTGTAGCGTGGCTAATGTTCCGTGTGACCGCAGCCATAGTAACTTTATTAAATGTGATCCTAAATAAAACTGTCTTCAGTTGGCTCCTAAAGCTCGAGAGTGAGGGGGCCAGGCGCACCTCCTTGGGGGGAAGTTGTTCCATAATTGTGAGGCTGCCATGGAAAAGGCCCTCTCTTGTGTACCCACCAATCGAGCTTCTTTAGTTGATGGAACAGTCAGGAGGGCCTCTCCCTGTGATCCTAATTCCCAGGCAGAAAGATAAAGGAGAAGATGGTCCTTCAGATACTTTGGTCCCAAGCCACGTAGGGCTTTAGATGTCAAAAACGACTCCTTGAATTGGGCTTGAAGAGTGGATCTGTAGCCAGTGTAGTTGCTGCAGTACTGGGATCACATGCTCTTGATAGCTGGCCCCAACCAGCAGTCTAGCTGAGGCGTTCTTCACTAGCTGCAGCTTCCCAAGCAAGAAAGTGCCTTGCAGCAGTCCATAGTTAACCATGGGTAGGCCCACCAATGGGTAGGCCCCCTCCCACCATGGGTAGGCCCCCTCCCACTGCAGCCCACCAATGGGAATGTGTTCTGTAGGGGGAAGGAGTTTGAACTTAATGTCTGCATGCTTTGGCTGCATGAAACCTCCTCACGCTCTTGGAAAGAGTTACAAGTAATATTAGGCAAAGGTCTTGCCAGGTTTCTTCTCCTTTGTGCCATGATCTTTGTGAAGCTTGAAAGTAGTGTTGTGTGCATGTGATGTGCAACAGAAAGATCTCATGCTACTATTAGTTTCATACTCTGTTTCATGCCCCTTTCCTTTAGCTGGCTACATTTCTTCTAGCAGGGCTTTAGTGACTTTTAGCTGTTGCACAACAAAACAGGCATTCTCTTCATCACCCGCTGCATTCAGATGTCTCAACAAACCTCTGTTTGTCCTTGGTGAATATGAAGACAGTCTGTTCTCATAATTGCATGCTCCCTTCCTGACCTCATTCCCTCCCATACACAGAGTATGACTGAAAGCTTCCTGGTGTGGGGAATTAAGTTTGCCATGATGTCCAATTACATGTTCCTATGCAAATGAGTTTTCTTCTTCTCCACAAATTCAGGATTAGAGTCTCTGTTTGTGGGATGAAGACACATTTCCGTTTGCTCAGGCATCTGCATTCACATGTCACAGTAAATTGGAAATCGATTGAAAGCATCCGAAAGCAGGAAGCTTTCAGTCACGCTCCACGTGTGAAACGAGGGGGAAGGTGTAAGGAGGAATGTGAGAGCACGGAAGCAAACTGTATTCTTGCCTCTCAGAGGAGAGAAAGAGACATTTGTTGACATGTCTGAATGCAGCCACTGTATTTATGTACTGGGAAAGCATCACCTGCTGAATTCTGGGTCATGCTAGCAGACTAGGATACATCAGCTGTGCCTCAATGGTAGATGCAACTGATCAGCCATACAGACAACAGGGATAGGGCCTGGAGAAGTGAAAATGGCCCCATTGGTTATAGCTTTTATTGAGGCACCTCACATGCTTGTGCTGAATTACTGGGAAAAATGTTTAAAGTGCTAAGGACAGATTTCTAACAAATTCTTTCAGAAGGAATCAGTTTCAAAACTACCTGTTCTATAAGTATATTTTACTGTTCTAAATCAGGATCTGCTTTGAAAATAGATTGCTAGTCTTTATTTTGATGCCTGAAACTCTAACAATGTTATATGAGTTTATTTGGGTTTTTTTCATGTTTCATGTCTTCTAAATTTAGACGTGGTTAGCATCTGACTGTCCTATGCTTAGAATTATATCTGTGGAGTATGACACCCACCTGAGTGACTGGAGAGCAAAATGTCCTGTGGAGAGCTACAGGTAACAAATAGAAGATGCACAACTTGAGGAGGAAATTAACCTGATAAACACCAACGAGAGGCCCTCAGGATTTGACTTGCCATGTAAAGTATGGAAGATGGCCAATGGAATACGAATACGTCTTGGCACTTGTTTGCTTTACTTACATTTGCATCCTCTGCTTACTTTTTTCTCATTCCTTGCAGGGAGTCTATAGCTTACAGGAGTTCTGAGCTTCTCAAGAAACTAAGAGCTGCTGGTATTGGAGACAGGCCTCTTATATGGATGTCACACAGCATGGGGGGCAAGTCCATTGAGTCCTTTTTAAAATCTGAAATGAACGACTCTGTTATTTTTTTAAAAACCAGGTCTTTTCAGCCCTGTTAAGTTGGTATTAAAAGGGTTAGAGTGAAACCCTAATTCCATGTGACAGTAATGGAAACCTGATTATTATATGTTTCACTAGAGTCATCATAGGAAATGACATCATGGGAAATGACAGCCTTTTGTCTGAATGTGTGCTGGTCTGGCCTCTGGGCTTTTGCTGTGCCATTTGAGGAATTTTAGGTGGGAGACTGAAACCCTGGTCTGCGCCTGTGGAGGGCTGTGTTGGCATAAAAAACCTCAGAAGAACCTATGAGACCAGAGGTCAATCTCATCCAGAATCCTGTTTTTCATAGTGCCCAGTTAGATGCCTTTGGGAAGCCCACAAGTAAAAGCCTTCCTTTACTGTTGCTCCTGAGCAACAGCTGCTCAGTGGTTTCTGTGCCTATCTGCCATGCCACCCCATGTTTGCAAGTTTGCAGCTGATAGCCGACATAGTAAAGTGATCTCTTTATAAAAGGTTACCTGATATGTACCTCTGTGTTATGGTACCTATTCTCAGTGTTGAAAGGCAATAAGAGCATACAGCATTTTATTTTCACCAAATCATTCTTGAGACTTCAAGTAATACTCAACTTCCTTCATACAAGCTGCCTCTTTCAACTACCTAGGGAACCTTGGTGACTTGTACCTTTTTAAATTTTCCATATGAAGGACAGTTGCTTCTTTAAGTTCTCAGTTCCATTTCTTATGTAATATTTCCCAAAGTGTTCCCAGTGATGGTCTGTCTGTCATGGAAGTTCATGAAAGGAAAGAAAGAGATAATCTTGTTTTTTATCGATGCTGGATTTCCCCCCATTTTTTTTTAATTAGGAAGGCTGTTTAGATTTTTATTGTTTTACTTGTTTATGTTGTCAGACAACTTAAGGTATCATGTACATTTTCTAAATACATCAGTTGCAAGTAAACAAACAGAAATCAAATGTTAAACAATTAAAAAATTGACTTGATTATTGGTAGAAATTAAAATAAAGCAGATAGCATTTCAGCTTAATGCCACTCTTCTCTAGTAGAATGACAAAAAAAGGACATAATGTGTTAATTTAGGTCAATTGATTAGCACACCAAAGCCTTTGAGGCAAAGAACTTTGCTAAAACAAAACAAACACACTTTCAGGTTAAAGGTTAGAATAGCAACATGTTAGCCGAACTGCTTTATCTACAACAGCTGACAGACTAAATTTATATCTGGATTCTTGCCCGTGTATACCAAGGTCCAATCCACCCCCAAGGGTTCGCCAGTGAAAGAGTCGAGGCTGGTATGTTCCAAAACAATCTGTCTTTTACTTAGAAATATATAAAATCACATACACACACATCAGATACACACACACAATCAATCAAGGTCCTCAGGAGTACAAGGTTACAAAGAATCACTTTTGCATTCACAGGTTGGGTGATAAAGATCAATACTTATCTGTCCTGAAGCTTGCACGTCACAATGAAGAATGAGGGGTTGGAAAAATATACTAGGGAGATTTAACACACAGCTAGAAACCAGCCAGCACGTGTGGACCTCTTGGCTGCAGACCAAGAGATCAAGTAGGGACAAAGGGGTTTTGGTACAGAGAGCTGGACTTGAGAGGGGTTTGAAAGCAGACAAGGGGGCGTAGGTGTGGGAAGGCGACTAGCAAACGCTAGGCAACTGGACCTCACCTTTTATAAGTGGATCTTCGGGTGGGTGGCAACCATGCCAGTCTGTGAACCCACCTCTCTGCTAGTCTGTCCCAAAATTGACCCTATTGGTGCATGTAATGAGGGGTGGCTACCTAAAGGGTTGGGCAATATTGAAACTCTAGACTCTAACTCAAGGGGCAACATCTGGGTAAGTGTGAAAGCTTGGTGTCAAGGAGCCTCCTTGATGTGTTGATGAAGTTTGGCCTTTCCCAGGTAATCAAAGAGCATCTGACAGGAAACTGTCAATTCAGATGTAAAGCGTGTCTTTCCTCAGTTCATCAATGGGGGATGCTTTCGTGTAAGCTGTTGTTTGCTGTCCATAATGGCGAATTGTGCTTCTTCCCTTAGGCTGGCAGCTGTGTATTTGAAAACTCATTAACATGTGGCTTAGATCAAGTCACCATCTATGTATATCTCACAACAGGCAACCTGTTCAGCTTTCCTTGAGCCTATGGGTTTATGTGTGCATAGCCCATGTAGTGTGTGGCAGCAAATATAAATCCATAAAGCAAATATCAGTTCCATCTCTCAACAATTAGTAGCAATCGTGCCTTCCATGATTGAAAGTATTTTTATCCAATAGCTGTTTTTTAAATCAAAGTAATATTTCATAGGAAAAGGAAGAAGGTACATTGTTTTTACTTTTATTCTTGCATTAATTCAGCTTTACTTCATGAATACATTTCTTATCAGGTCTTCTAGTCAAGAAGATGCTTCTGGATGCTTCCAAGGACCCCGAAATGGATTCCATTGTAAACAACACCCGGGGAATTGTATTTTACAGCGTACCTCATCATGGGTCCCGGTTGGCTGAATATTCAATAAACATTAGATTTCTGCTGTTTCCTTCTGTGGAAGTTAAGGAACTCAGCAAAGGTATACCTGTTGAGCAGTTATTTAGTTGTTTGTGTATGTGTGTGGGATTCCCCTCCCCCCCGAAATGTGAGACAGCAAAGTAATAATTATACAGCTGTTGAAGTGGAAAGTAGAAGAAAACTACTGAAGCCTGAGCATAAACTTTTACCAAGCTTTGTGGAATAATTACAGTTTATATAATCAAAATATGTGTTTAACTTTATTTCTTTTTCCTCCAGATTCTCCTGCACTTAAAGCCCTGAATGATGACTTTCTCTCATTTGCAAAGGACAAGAAGTTTCCTGTATTAAGTTTTGCCGAAACGTTACCAACACGAGTTGGCAGAATGTTGAACCTGCATGTGGTACCAGTGGAATCTGCAGGTCTGATCTCCTCAACAATCTTTGAAAATGAACTCGCCCAATCTCATCAGATCTCAAAAACTAAGCAGGGTTGACCCTGGCAAGTATTTGGATGGGAGACCTCCAAAGAATACCAGGGTCAGGAGGCGGAAGCAGGCGATCAAGCCACTTCTCTGAACATCCTCTACGCCCCAGTAGGCATTACCAGAGGTCACCATGACTTCCAGGCACAGACAGACAGACAGACACACACACACACAAATGCAAAAAAACCCAAAACCTCAAAACCCCAAAATGAACTGGTGTAGCAAGAGAGAGCCATCTATGTTCTGTGGCATAAATACTCCAAAAGAGAAAATATTATGAAACATCAGAATTTCAGATGAGAAACTGATTAGTTTTCTCTGGTGCTGGGGTGGATCAACATTCTTTGGAGCCCAAAGAATATTCAGTCTGTCAAGAAACTGGACTTTCTCTAGATGTTTCTTGGCTTTTCAAAACTTTGGTTCAGGCCTAGTAAAATAATCGAAGGCTTCTCTCTGAAAACGATGACTTTCAGTATCAAGAGAAGGAACAGATCATGGGGTCCAGGAGCTTCAAGGCCAGGGGCCAGGAGGGAGCTTTGCACTTGCAGTCCATCCCATTAGTGCAAGAAACCCTGTTTGGGGGGTGAGTTTCTTGACTCTGAGCACATATTAGCTGCAGACGTACATGGTCTTGTGCCTTGGCAACACACCTGATTGCTCTGGAATGAGGCCAGTTGCTGGCAGCCTGACATAAAGGAAGCTCTTTCATTCTAGTTTGTTCCTCCTTTGCGTCAGACCCTTGGACTTTGAAACTTTATCTGGACTCTGTGTTTCAGTCTGGTCAGGTAACATCTGGGTCAGAGGACCAAAAAGCCCGTCTAAGTATTTTAGGCTAGCTACTTAGTTTGTTATTTTCTTCCTTGCTTTCCACTGTTCTTATATGTGCACACTTTTTTGCACATTTCTTTTAATACATTTTATTAATTATACTTCTGTGGTGTTATTTGGGTTTGGGAGCTTCAATCTAAACCCAGTACCTTGGCCTACAGTGGCTACAGCTACCAAAGGAATTGTTTTTGGAACTCAGCTTGCAAATGTCCTGCCTTGAAGGGCTGACCTCTTGATTAATACCTGGTAGGGCTGGAAACTCTGTTCCTCTGGCCTCTCAGCTGAGGATCAGTCAGAAGGACTGGTGGTGGCTCATTAACCTGGGTAGTGAGGATTCACTCCCCAGTATTGTGTTTTGCCCTGACCTGTCACTACACCTTGACACCTTCCTTTCTTGCTCATTAAATATTCCTATCTTAGGCTGCTCAGTAAACCTTCACTCCATAAGTTATGGATTGCTTTATTATAGAAGTTCTGGTAGGCCCCTTATATTTTTATAGAAAATATCTTAGACATGCACAACCTAAAAACTGGCTTAATTGTAAATCCTAGATGTTGTCAGAAACTTAGTGGCATGTTTTGCCCATGACATAAATGGTTGTGTATAACTTTTTACTGTGCTTAGCTGCCACCCAGGACTCCAGAAAGCTAATGTAGACTGCACATCTCTCTCAGGATCACAAGATGGGTGTTAATGTACAGTTTGTGTCATTTTCTTTTATATTTAATGTTGCTGGGTTTTGTTTTTCTTTTTCAGATGTAGGCATAGGAGAACTCATTCCAGTAGAAGTTAGCCACCTGAATATCTGCAAGCCAAAGAACAAGGATTCATTCCTTTATCAGCACACCCTAAAGTTTATTCAAGAAACTTTAAAACGAGATCTGAGAAACTGATGAATTGCTACAACACTTGGCTTATTTCTTTGCGATGTCTCATGTAATTCCTAGAGACACCTGTGCTGAAGCTGTACTTGTAGGGCTACGGAGATACAGCAATGGGTTTTATTTGGTCTTGAACATCTCAACTGCAGGTGTTTGGAGTATGCTTATAATATGAAAATGCATAAATGCCCAGTGCCATATATGTCAAAGAGAAGGTCATCGTGGCTTTATTGTCTTCCATGCTCTTGTCTACATTTACATGGGAATGTTGTAGAGCAGAAAAAATCTCTATTAAAACTTGCCAAGAAGCATTTGCTGACCAATAGAAACATCAAAATGCCCTTTGGCCTAGGAAAGTCCTCTTTCCTTAGGGATGCTGCCATGTTTTTCCTGTAACAATATTTGCCAGGCACAGGTAGTTGTTGAAAGGTGAGCGTGGGATGAAACTTCCCACATAGATGCATGATATAGATCTAATGCACTAGAATGGAGCATCTGACCGAGTCCTGCTCCTGTACATAAGCACTTCAGGACTAGAAATACTATGCTATCTTGTGTCAAAATGTGCCAGAAACCAAATACAACAAAAGAAGTCCTGTTGGTGTTTGGGATGAAAACCCCATATTGTCTAAAAGGCTCTAGAATAAGCTCCAGTAGCATTGTGTTAGTTCACAATGTATTCACTAACTAAAATGTTTCTGAATATAAAGTTAAGGCCAACATTGTCTCAGTTTCCTTAAATGGGCCGTATTTTGTTATACTATTGTTATGTTTTTATCTTGTTTTAATTGTTTTAATTATGGCTTTTGCCCTAGTTGTTAGCCGCCCTGAGCCTTAGGAGAGGGCGGGATATAAATCGAATTATAAATAAATAAATAAATAAAATGCATGAATTTAGTACAGTCCCAAAATTAATCCTCATTCTCTAGGCATCACTCCAAACTATGGATAGTACTAAGTACGGTTTCAGCTTTCAAAATAAACAAGCAAATGATGGTAAAAAAAAAAATCAATTTCTGTCTTCATAATTTTCCCAGCTGTGGGTGCAGCGACCTCTGAAGCAAAACAAATAACCAAAATTCTGGTTTGTCATACCAGTCATGTTGAACCAAAGTGAGCATAAACCTATTTTCCTGGCTAGCTGGCTGATTGAACTCTATGGTTTTCCTGTTCAGACATTACACCAAATAAGAGTTTTGTTAGCTCTAGTTTGCAAAATACCTGCATTGAGCCAGTCTATTTAACAGGAACACAAAAGATATTAAAAGAGAGATTTTAAAAAATTATGTTGTTAAACAGAAGCCCTTTATGGGCAAAAGTTGATCTGCAACCTGCTGCTGTATTCCCTTGTTTCGAAATATTATTTTGTTGTTGTTCAGTCGCACAGTCGAGTCCGACTCTTCGCGACCCCATGGACCAGATCACGCTATGTTATGTTTATGTGGCTGTTACATAATCCTAAAAAACATGTTAAGTTTATAAACTGTGCTCTGGTTTACATTGTAATACTATTTATGCAATAATGAGCTGTCCAGTACAGTATAGATGATTTTCAAATAAAACTGGAAAAGTCTTAATGTGGGAGGCGCTACTAAATGTGGCATTTTTTATAACAACAGAGGGCTTAAAATGGATTCGTACATGCAAGCTGATGTGAGCAAACGTTGAACATAGTTGTGTGAGCTAGACCTCAGCTGCAGTGGGTTAGTATGCCCTGATAAGACAAGGCTATGAAGTTTTGCACAAATATAAATTTGGTGGGGGGCCCCCTCAATCATTATTGTAGCAGTAAGTGCAGAAATATTTTAAAAGAGTTTTCTATATTTCTAGCAATTAATTCCGTAAAAATGTGCAACATTTGAATTGGATCAGCTGTCTTGAGGCTTTGATTTGTTAAACTGAGTGATGTGAGCAGGAAATTGATTACACAGAGGGTGCTACTGGGAGGATTTATGTTTTAATGAGGCTGCTCACCAGTCCGCCACCCCTAGGCTACAATGGCAAAGGCAAAATACTACACTTATTCAAATGAAGTAATAAAAGCAACTTTTATTTGTGATATAAATCTTAAATGGGCTTTCCTTCTAACACTTTTATTATCATGCAAATAAGCTGCCACAAAGCTGTTTATCTTTTGTTGCCAAGAATATTGGCGCTAGCAATAAACCGTTTTTCTAAAAAAATTAGCCCATTTGTGTTTTATGTTGAAATGCAGCTGCAAATATCCAATGACACTTTGATTTCTTCAAGGACAGAATTGTTAGCTGCACAATATATTCAATAGGAGGTAAGAGTGTCATTTCTACTAACCTACCTTTTATGCCAATAAAGGTATTGTATTTGTACTAACCTACCTTTAATTTCTGTTGATACTGAACATCAGACAAAAAAATGACAGGGTGATAGTAGGAAGGAGAACATTTCTATACAAAACTCCTTCCACAGAGGGATGTATAGCATTGGGTTACCTGTGCATGACCACGGACACTCTTCTTGCCCAGCATTTGGTGAGTGCTTTCAACTTTGATAGTCCCAGTTAGAGATAACTGGAGAGGTGGAGTGACTAATTTTCATAATAAAGTTCCTTAATTTATATCTCTGTGTTATCACCTTCATGCTCAGCTTGGAAATTCCCCAGTATGATCCCATCAGCCACACTTAGAAACAGAATGTTAAGACTAGACAGAATTCAGATACAAGGGTCTTTTTGTGACAGTGAGGCATGGTGAGGTGTGTACTGCACTATAAGATCTCCATAGAGGACCCAGGAGTTTTGTGTTCTGCCTAAAGTCATGGATGGGGAGGAGCACATCTGTGCAAAACAGCAAATCTTCTATGCTTTTGAGTAATAATGAATAGAAGCAAGACAGAACAAGTGACACTTTGTGATCTTTTATATTTAGTGTTGACCTAAGAAGCAATAAGCCAAGTCCTGTTTCTTATAAAAGAAATTTATTATTTACAACCTCAATATAAAAAGGATACTACAAAATACATGCTATAGGCTTTTCCATTTGTACTATTAAGAACAGAAAGAATCACTAACTATGCACTTCATCAAAAGTGATTCAGCTCTGCAGCTAATACATTACCACAGCACTTTAGAAATACCATGTTATTTCTATTAGCTGCACCATTATTCAAGCTTTCCATGTGAAAGGCAATCCTTGCTATTATCCACATCTATAATTGTGGCAGCAGTTCCAAAGGCATCCTAGAAACTACTACCACCAACTCCACCTTTTCATCTGCTGCTATCCCAGTGTTCTCTCTCCAGACCAAGCCTATTAAAATTGTCTTTCCCGTAGAGTGCAGAAGTTATCAAGTATGTTGTAAAAGAATCAGATTTAAAAAACATAAAGATACAACTGGTCACTGCATTTCCCCTCCAGTTAATTAAATGATCACATCATTTAATAGCAAGCACCTGCTATGCAATGAGCTAAAAGATAATTAGATTTTATGCAAATGTTAAGAGGGAATCCTTATACCCCTGTATTTTTCATATTTCCTTAGAAGAAATCATGGAGTACCAGTAATAGTTTCTTGTTTGGAAAAAAAATGTTTCATTTCTGTGTTTTATGTAGGATAAGCAAGGGAAGAGAAAAAAGATTAGGCTCAAAGCTGTAAATTGGAGCCTGTGGCTGCTCAGGTTTTTTTCTCAAAGGCAAGCATTTCAGTGAGATCTTGAAATGTATTATTGCTGCTGCCATCCTCACCAAATGTAACCCAGTGACTGAAATCTGTTGGGCCGGAGAGTTCCTGATCTTTCAGAGCGTGTGTTGGGCTGATAGGCAATGGTGAAGCTATTGACTGATGAGGGACAAAGTCTTCCTCAAAGCTTAACAGACAGGGGTTTCCTGTAAGAAAATCATTGTTTAAGAGCTGCTCAGGCTGCTGGCTGTTCAGGAGAAGAGGAGCCTGCAGGCCAGCATCCAGCTGCAAAGCAGCTGGCCTCAGGAGCTTAGAACCACTGTCAACTGGGCTGGAAATGAGGTCTGCTGCAGGAAAACATGACTCACTGGGACAAAGAGGAAGGGTGCTGGAATCCTGTGTTTCAGAACAATGTTCTGATGGATTGTTGTTGTTGTTGGAATTGAACGTTAAACCCTTCAAGAACAAGCTGTCACTGCTCTGGAGAACTTGGAGGTGAAAGTCAGGGGGAGCCGACTTCTTTCTTCTGGGTGGAACTCTCGGGGCAGAGGTAGAATTCTGAGGAGGAAAAAGAGAAGTGTCCTCTAAAAGATGTAGCGCTGGCTGCCTTTCGCTGCTGCTCCTCCTCTCAGGAATTTTGCCAGGGTACGTGGTTCTTGGCTTAGGAACAGGGGCTGCCCTTGCACGACTGGTAACGGCTCTTGATTCAAGGCAAGACTCTGGCAGTGCAAAGGAGAAGTGACCCACAGACTGTTCAAACTGCTCTTCTGGAGAGTGGGGCTGAGGAGAAGAAGACAAAGATCTCAGTCAACTGCTAATTTCCCCCAACACGGACAGGAAAGCAAGCAAGAAACACACAGTGAAAGTCTGCTTCAAGCCTGGCCAAACACAGTTGGCCTCTTATTGTGTGAGCTGTTAGCCTCCTGTGATTCTGCACATGCCGTACCAAATCTGAAATTGTTTGAGATTCCTAAAAAAAACCCTCCACTTTCATTTCTTTCAAAGATTTGCACATTTCTAGCCTTCAGTAGTAAAAAGATCTGTTTAAAATGTGCAGAAAGCTTTCTAGTCTCTTGAGAACAGAACCATCTGCTTTGCACAGTTATTTGTTCCCCATGCCACCTCGGTTTCCCTTGGGTACCCCACATCTCTCTCTTCTAGCCCCCATAACACCTGCTGCAAAAAAAAAATCATTGAAAGTGCCACAAAAGTTTTATTTTGTTTGTTTGTCTGTTTGTTGGTTTATATATGTTCAAAATAATAAAGAATAAGGGCTTTGCCCATAAACAAAAAAAGAAAGTGCCACAAAAATTCAAACATGGTTTCAGAAAAGCCATGCAAATTAAGCACATGTAAGCCAATCATCATGCATTCCCTTGATCTGCATAACTCCAAGCACAAAACTTGCATCTCCTTGGCACAGAAGATGAATTTCCTTGGATAACTCCGCTTTGAAGCAAATGCAAAGTGAAAGATGTGAGCCCGATGGATATTTTTAAAGACAGCAGGGATTTAAAATATAAGATGCTCCCTTCAATGTTCCATTACCTGCTGCCACAGGGAAAGTTTGCTTAACATACTTGTGGAACTGCTGTATAAATCTTCATAGAAGCCTGATGCGCATTCTCTTGCATTAAGGTTTTGCTACATTTCTACTTATTTGCTATAGCAAATATAGCACTAGGATCTCTTAAGAAGAGAAAAAGACTCAGTACCTAATTACTCACCTCCCTGAGAGTGTTGCATTAATGGCCTGCACATTTCACACTTATTTGATACCTTTCTATTGCACAAGCAGGCCAGAAAAAGGCCTACATTAAGGTACTCCATTTATACTGCTAAGAAAGAGAAACCATGGCACTTACTTGCCCAAGCTTCCCTCCCATTCTTTGCGAGGGTACTGGCTTCTTAGCGGTGGGAACTTTGGGTGGAGGCCTATGAGGCACAAACCCTGGGGTTGACTGTAGATTGTGAAGTGGTGGTGGATTTGTAGCACTGGGGAAGGTTTCAGGTTTCGTGACAACCTGCGTTGGTACAGGAGTGGGTGCCAGGGCTTCCTCTGGTGTCACTGCAAGGGGAAAAAGCAGAAGTGCTTTTTGGAATATATCTAGCATATAGAATACATAGCATTCCTCAAATTCTCTTATTTCTGAATAATGTTACACTCTATTGTGACTAAGAGTGGTACCATCTGGGTAAAAGTTGTTTTGACTTAAGTGTTCATGACTTAATTATTTAAATTAGCAGATGCTTTTAGGGCAAGATTTTTCAACAAAAACACTACAGGATATTTAAAATCCTGTTTAAGCAAACAAACAGGAAAAAACCCCAACTAAAATAAATGTGTCTTCTCTTGTTTCCTTCAAGAAGAGGCAAAGGAGAAAATGTATTGAACAGTAACATTAAAACAAGAACTAGATTTGTATAGCAAAAAAAAAAAGCCTTGCCCTGAAAATGAGGATGCCCAATACAAATCATTTAATCTCCCTGTGAGTCCTGTTACTATGGTTCGGTTCTGAAGATGAACACTGTGAACACAGCAGACTCAACCCCTAAACATACAGTTGCTAAAAGGCCTGGAGAAAAAAAATGTCCCTTTCATAGAAACTGAATGTGTGCAAATTGACAGGTCTTCCAGCCCCACAAGATGATCTGATCAAGAGGCAGCCAGCTAGATTTTGAGCCTCAAAACATCTGCTTCAGGGGCATAACTCTGTTTGACAATTCATCTCTAGTTGTGGTTAATTGTTGCTACTCATGACATTATTTCCTCTCATCATGCAGTGCCTGACTCTGTACTCGCCCAGCTGTGAGTGAGCATGTGAAATGTGATCTTCTGGAATGGTCCGATATGCTTTCAGCTTCTCAGCCACCAAGTAACTAAGCCAGGCTAGCTGTTCATGTGAAGGTCAGAGAGCTAAAGCATCCTAGATCCTTTCAGAAGGCTTGATGTTTATCAGGCTTTTGCAGCTTGGTATGAGCACAGCAACCTAACGGCTGATTGGCTGTGAATGAACTAAATCCAACCTACCTTTCCAGAGGTCAGCTGCTTCTACAAAGCAAGTAACCTGGAGACTATGGGAAAACAGAGATTCTTGTACTATAACTGCTGTGGATTGCTTGTTCTTTCAAAAGACCACCATGTTTCTTTATGTCTGCCAACAGGAAGCCCACCTAAAAGGCTACCACACAGTGGCACTTCCAGATGGCTGGAAACTACTCACTATGTTTATTAGTTACCCGTCTATGTTGCTCTCTCTGAAGAAAACTCATGAGTGGTTTATATATGGCACCTGCTGGCTTCCCATCCAGGCACCAATCAGGTCCATCCCTATGGAGCTTTGGCAATGCCAAACTTCAGATTTACACAAACCACTGAATGCTGTGGAGAGAATCTCCATATAGCGATGGCAGTCATGGGCAGCTAGAGACTCCCCATTCGAAGCAGGTGAATCATATAGTAAGTGACTTGTACATTTCCACCTGGACTTGCCTTTGTAAACTGCAGTACAAAACCTGGCCTTGAATAGCAGTACTTTTATTAACTGATAACTGCCTTAGTGACTGGAAACAATCTACAATCTAGACAATACTCCCCCACACACACACACAGTCCATGTGTTCTGTACAAATGCATCAAAATGTATGAAAAATGATTCTGATTTCTTGCAGACCAATTGAAAACACTGCAAAAAAAATTTAAAATCACAGAGGTTTTCAGTGGGTATAATGCTTCTATAATGCAAGTATATTTAGATCACACAAAAAAACCCAGGTTGCTTACCTGTAACTGATGATCTTCGAGTGGTCATCTGTGCGTTCACACCCATGGGATCTAGTGCGCACGCACTGGATTGATCGGCATTGTAGCAAGCTCTTTAACGGATTTTCGCGCCCAGTCCCTCGGGCATGCGCAGGAACCCCACCGCGCATGCCCAGAGGGGTGGGCGCAGACATCCCGCCAGTTCCTTCGAACCGCTGCAAATCAACCCCTATGGAAAATGTAGATGCTGACAGCAGCGGGGAAGGAGGGCGGGTGGTGTGAATGCACAGATGACCACTCGAAGATCATCAGTTACAGGTAAGCAACCTGTTTATCTTCGATGTGGTCTCTGTGCTTCACACCCATGGGAGATTAGTGAGCAGTGGCCTACCTGGAGGAGGGTGCTGGCAAGTCCTTACTGCGTTGCTGAAGATAGAATGTGACGTCCCATGTTGGTATTAGAGTTCTTACGGATGGCTAGGGCATAGTGCCTCATAAAGGTGTTAAGTGTGGCCCAGGTAGCAGCCTTGCAGATGTCCG